TGCCGCCTCCCCCCACTGCTGCTGCCCCGCCACCACTGCCTCCGTGCCGCCACTGCCTCCCCCCCGCCCCGCCACCTCTCCCTCCCCCCGCGGCTACCTGCGGAGGAGGAGGAGTGCCGGCCAGGAGGCTCCCTGCCTGCCTGCCTGCCTGCCTCGCCACGGGCCAGGCTGCGGGTTAGGAGAGGCTGCCGGCGGCCGCCCCTGCCTCTCCTCCCACTCCCCAACGGCTGGCTCGCGCTCTAGGCAATGGCCTAGTTCACCTAGCGGGCGAGCCGGCCCTGCAGGGAGGGGTTGTGACTCAGTGGAAGAGCCTCGGCTTTGTGTGCGGAAGGGCCCAGGTTCAGTCCCCAGCAGCTCCAGTAGGTGATGTGAAAGACTTCTGCCTGGGACCCTGGAATGCCACTCCCAATCTGAGTAGACAATACTGATGGACCGATAAGCTGGTTCAGTATAAGACAGCTTCATGTGTGTTCACTGGAGCAAGCACCATTTGGAAAAAGGCTTCTTGAATTGGAGGGAGGCTTCAAGCTTCCGGTAATGAGATAATTTATATGATTTGGAAAAACTGAAAAGTGTTGTGTAAATGCTAGTTCATGAAGATTCATGCTACAAAACCAAAACCAAATTTTCCCACAGTTTTTACATTGACGGTCTGTAGACTTTGTGTCAAAATAGCAGTGGGGCGGGGAGGTCACCAATGAAAGAACAGACATTTTCCTCTTAAGTATCTGCTTGTAATTGGGAATTCACTTTATGCTCACTAGCTTTTTCACTTCTCAGGGTGGGATATGCATACAACACAGCAGCTTCGGCGATAAGTACTCGAACAAAGGCCTACAACGACTCAACAGATTTTAAAGCACCCAACGCCTCCCCAAAGCACTTCGACAAAAACGCCTATGTGTAACCCCAATGGTTCCAAGAGTCATATTTTTGTAAATCGCGTTTGTGCTGTTCATTCACAGAATAATTTTTAGAAAGGCACTGGTGCTGTTAGCACTGGGAACGAGAATGTTTTATAAATGAACTTTTTGCCTACCTGTTGTAAATTTCTCTCCTGCATTGTATTAAGATTTATATGGATGCCATGCATAAATTATATCTGTAAATCATTTACTATTTTTGCTTTCTGTAAAAAAAAAAACCATTTACAAATAAAGTCATATTGGCTGTGGCCAGTGATGTTGAAGGTTTTGTAGATTGGGACACTGCAGGAGATCTCAAAAAGTTGTGTTTTCAGTCTCGGGTGCCAATGCGCTTATAGACCTTGGGATCAACTATGCTGAAACAGTTCTCAGGCACATTCCCAATGCTTTAGATTACACAGCAAACCTCAAAGCCACTGCTTCCTAAGACTTCCCGAGTTCCATCTCACAAAGCTAACATAAACATTCTCCAAGCCTCTTTCTTCCTAGACATAAACCTCACTTTGGGCCTTCAAAAGAAGAAGAGATTGGATTTATATCCCACCCTTCACATGGAGTCTCAGAGCGGCTTACATTCTCCTTTCCCTTCCCCTCCCCACAACGGACACCCTGTGAAGTAGGTGGGGCTGAGAGAGCTCTTTCGAGAACTGCTCTTGAGAGGACAGCTGTGAGAGAGCTTGTAACTGACCCAAAGTCAACCAGCAGGCATCATGTGGAGAAGGGAGGAATCAAACCCGGTTCTTCCAGATTAGAGTCCGTACTCTTAACCACTACACCAACCTGGCTCTGTACTCACCAGGATATCAGTAGTAGGGATCTTCCCAGAAGAAATTTCATCAGAACTCTTTTGGTTGGTCTTGACATGCTTCAGCTGATTAACCAGAGGAGAAACCCCTCAGATTTCACTTCAGAATGAATTTCAGTGATTACTCTAATTGTTACAGTCGTCATCTCCTTGCCGGAAGAGGGTGGTGACACTGTTCAAGGTTCCAAGGCGTGTTCGAAGCCGCACTTCCTGAACTATTTCTTCACTTCCTCCCTCGGCCGCTCTGCCCCACTACCTGCAGGAAGACAAAATTGGGAGACCTGCCACCCCCAGGCGGAGATGGTGGAGGAAGGAGAGGGCAGAAGCAGCAGCATCTCTCAGAACAGGTGAATGAGTAGGCACTATCTTTGGGCAAGGGAACCTGGCACCCTTAGATGTCACGTGTGGCAGGGGTGCAGTGGTTATATGATGCCCTAGTCCTACCCAAGTAATGCTTGCAACAGCTTAGTAGGGCCCACTTATTACTGCATTGTAACATGACTGAATAGACAGGCTTAAATCTCACAGGGAGCCTTTCTGTGATATAGCAGGCCCATGATATGCTAGAGCAAGGCTCTTCGCTTAGCGAAAAGGAGTCCAGCTTATCAATTTTTGTATGTGATGAAAGTCGTGGAGCCTTTCTACACAGCTCCGTCTCTCCGGCTAAGGAAACCTGGTAGAATGACCCTGTGTCTGGGCACTTCAGAGGACTATGTGGCCCTGAGGAAGGACTGTTCTGACTGCTAGGGTAAGTTTAAACAATTGTTTATTTATCAAAGAACAAAATAGGTTTCTGGGTATTTTTGAACTGTTGTTGAAGAAAGGAACTTATATATATAACTGATAAAGCTGGGCATCACACACTGTCTCTCAAAATGCCAAAACTCAACTCTGACAGCCTTAGCCACACAGGCTAAATGCTGCTTCTCTTAGCCACACAGGCTAAACCTTTTGTCTTAGCCACACAGGATAGACTCAAACGGCTTCTTCTGCCATACAGGCTAAACTCAAAAACTCTCCACTCTCATCTCTCCAAAAACACCTAATCTCAGACACACCCCTCCTCCCACACTTTCAGTCATCAGCCAGTCACATCACACTCATCTCCCTCTATCACTCTCCTTACATTACTGCAGTCAAACTGAACATTTAAAGAAACACACACACCAAAACATGAAATCATTACACTGGTGCACTGCAGGTGTTTTGTGTCAGCCTTGGGCTGGGCTAAAAGGCAACCGCTGACAGTGGGGCACAAGAAGCACATTGGGTGAGGCCAACCCTATCGGCAGAAGGATAGAGTGAGCACATCCAGGAGGGCATGGTCTTCCTCCAGGGTCAGGGGCGACTGCTGTGGCAGCTGGGCGGTGTCATCTGCAGCCACTTGGGGAGATGGGCAGGAGAAGCATGCCCAGGCCCCCCCAATTTCCTCCCTATTCCTCACGACAGGCCCCGACACCAAGGAAGAGGCTAGATCGGTTGCCTAGGGGAAGGGATATCCTGACAGAAGGGGGATAAAAGGGCAGATCTGCTCACGGGGAGGATTCAGTTGAGACAGTGCCAGAGCTCAGGAGGGAGCTGTGCCCAGTGGGGAGGAGGAGGAGGAACCAGGTAGCACAATCCCCTTCTAGCCGGCGCGTGAGGGACCTGCAGAGCAAAGATACCGTCACAACAAGCAAAGGCAGAGCTCCACGGGTGGAGCAGCAACAGGAGTGTGCTCTACAGAACCCTTTGCAGGTTTCTCCACTCAAAGAAACGCTTTTGCCCTCCCAGAAGAGCACAGTTGTGCATGCAAAAGGTCAATTCTTGACGTCTCCCGTTGAAAGGATCTCTGTTAGCAGGGGGCCGGGAAATAGTTTTTCTCTGTTGGCAACCTTGGAAAGAGGCTGCCAGGCAGAGTGGATTCGAGGGCCCAATGATTCTGCAGAGTATTACCAATTTCATATGTTCAGATTTCACAGTTTCCTGTGTGTTTGTGATCAAAGGAATATTTGAATGAAAAGAAATAACTTTATTTAAAAGGCTTCCCTTTTATATAAAGTTTAGTATAAAGTTGTTTTTTCAATTTGTTTTTTGTTTACTTAAAATATTAGATCAGGTAAATACTGTTTTATTGATGCATACCGCTTTCTTGAAAGTGGGGAACTAGCTAGAGGCGTTTAAACCAGTTTTGCACATTCAGACAGAAATTAAAGACACCAGAGGTTTGTAAACAAAAGTTCCTTGTTAACGCATATGAAAAGTTGACAGAAATCAGATTGTGATAGATAAGATCTCATTCCAAAGATGAACAATCAGATATCTGAAGAATCACTCCAGTCCGTGACAGTGACTAAGCTGCTTTTCAATGTGCTTGTTGTATCTGCATCTTGAAGACCTTTTTTTAAAAAAGAAAAAAAGAAAATACCCAATTAGATGGGCCACACAGCAGTGAAAATCAAAGTATTTAAAAGAGGGGGACCCACAAGGACTCACGGGGACCCACGGAGAGGAGGACTCACAAGGACTCAGGGGGAAGGAATCCTCCTCCCCTCACCCAGCTGACTCCCTCGACCACCGGCTCATCCCCATGGTCAGTGCTACTTCCCACGTGCCATTTTGGATTGCTATAACTGCTATACCTGGTGAATTGCACATCTTTGTGCCACACGGACCCCCCCCCACCTTCTCCTCTCCCAGCACTTCAGCATGGGGATTGTGGACTGCCAGGGATCGGTGTGGCGTAGCTTGTGAAGATCAGATGTACTGATTCTCCAATATTATGGGACACGCTGCATGACTATTTCTTTCACTAAAAGATGCCATCATGCCAACTGTCTGTTAAAAGGTTTCAGGGCACAAGCTCCCTCAACTGTACAGAAAGAGGAAGGAGGCGGTAGTCCAGTCCTCCATAGACCCACTGCTTGCCTTCCCCCATAGCTGGTCTCCCCAAGTGCTTTTTGCTCAGCTGAGTACACTGCTGGCCTTGGAGCAAACCTAAGGGGGGAAAAAAGCATTTGGGAAGAGGTTCTGCGAGAGAAGTAAGTACCAGGTATTCATCCCTTCTAATCTCAAAAGCAATACTTTTGCAGGGTAAAAGGTGTTGCGCATCACTCCTCTTGGGCTGCCTGTGGGATGCTCGTGGTTCTGGGATGGTGGGAAGAAACCCCTCGCATTATGACCCTGCCGAGAACACATCAGGTGATGTAGGGAAAGACGCATTCAGCAAGTGCAGTGCATCCAAGCTGTTCCCAAATGCGTTAAAGATTAAGCCACCAAAAAAGAAAAGAAAAAGTCTCAAGGCTTGATTGCAAGAGCAAAGGATAGAGTTGGATCTCCTTCGGTTGAGAAGGGATGCCTGGGAGGATATAAAATGAGGATCAAGGGAGAGACCCAGAGGAGTTAGCCGTGTTAGTCTGTTGCTGCAAAATAGTAAAAAGCCCAGGAGCACCTTTAAGACTAACTAACTTTTCTGTAGCATAAGCTTTCGAGAAACACAGCTCTCTGCATCTGACAAAGAGAGCTGTGTTTCTCGAAAGCTTATGCTACAATAAAGTTTGTTAGTCTTAAAGGTGCTACTGGGCTTTTTACTGTTGTGTATGAGAGGGGGGAGCTGGCCTGGCTTAAGAACTTTATCAAGAACATTTGCCGTGGAAAATCTGCCTTTCAGCAGAATGCTCTGCTGTCGTTCTTTCTAGCCCCAATTCAGGAAAGATATCGGTTAATATCTCCCTTCTGCAGCCTCCGTAGGTCTGACTAAACCCCACCCTTAGTCCCACCGTGCTTTGCTCCGGATCAAACCATCTCTCCCAGTCTATTCGGGGGGAGGGACTTGACCCAGCTCTGCCTCGGAGCAACAGAGCTACGGAGTGTGGCCTGACACCGTCTCTGATACCATACCTTCTTCCTTGGTAAGTTTCCCCACAGGGCGGACCACAGATATAGCATTTGTATTATCCTTTTTAGTGGCAGGTGCATTTTTGACTTTCTCATCTTTGGCTGGCAAACAGTTTTCCTCTGCCAGAGATGACAAATCCCAGTCATCCTCATCCTCTTCCACGACTCCTGTTAACTAAAATGGGGAGGAAAGAATTGCATTTTAAAAATCCCATTTCCTGAAACGCTGGAGTCATTCCATAAGAATAGTTCTGTGTATGTCGGCACCTGTCAACTGTCTAGTAAGCACTACTGTGAAATCACAAAATAAGTGCAATTTTTTCTAGGTTTGAGGGGGGGGATACTGTTCTGGGTTTTCTCTACTAAACTGAAGTGCTGAAATATCAGTAGTGTGAACTGCTTTATGAAACACATTAGCAATATTAGCATAACAAACAGGATGGGGAAAAAGTCCACTGTCAGACTCCCCAGCAATGAAGACAGCACCCTCTACTGACAGGAGACTATAATACACAGGTCTAGCTCAAAAATAAAGCCATTTACACTAGGGACCAATTGCATCCATTTATAATTTCTCTGTTACGATATCTAACACATATTGGCCCTCCACTGTGTGATGCGGGACTACGTGGACCACTGGTCTGATCCAGCAGTGCTCATCTTACGTTCTTACAATCTGGCCAAGTTAAATCAGCTTTACTTTCTATCAGTTTCAACTGGTAAGCCGCACGTTTTATTCTGCTGAAATTAAAAAGGTCTGGAACATTCTTAGCTTTGGCCACCTTGTGCCATAGCAGGCGATATTAGTATGAACTAGACATGCGTGCAAAAAAGTAGCAATATTACCATTAAAAAGTTTTATCGTTTGTGAGAACGTTGGAAGTTTTTACAGCAGCTCCATTTTTTCTGTTACTAGGCAAGGATGGCAGGGTTTACTTTCCACTAACATTAACTTTGTTGTTTTTTTCAAACAACCCTAGACTTTCATTTCTACTTGCTACACCAATAGATGGCACTTTGGGCAGGGTGTTGCCCTAAAGACATACCTGGCTTAGACTAGGGGTGGGGGAGGTATTTGTGGATTTCCTGCACTGTGGACTAGATGACCTTGGAGGTCCCTTCCACCTCTATGCTTCTAGACTGTTCAAGGATTTAAGGCTGCAACAAACAGCTTGAATTGGGTTCAAAGGCTAGGAAGGAGCCCGTGCAGTTATGGAGCACAGGAGGTTGTTGTTGTTTTTAAACATAAGAGGGCTGGCATTGCACAGGGGTTAGAAAGTCGAGCTGGGACCTTGGAAGACCGGGTTCAAGTCCTCCACTCAGCCATGGAAGCCTGTTGGGTGACTCTGGGACCTCGGGTGGCCTCTCAGCCTAACCCGTCCTCACAGTGTTGCTGTAGTGAGGATTGGGTGGTGGTGGGGGAACGATGTGCTTTGGGCCCCGGATCAGGAAGAAAAGCACGATATAAATTAAAACAAAACAAAAATGGCAGGCTCTGGTTCTTCCTGATGTGCTCTGAATGATGCCTGGCTGCCGCCTCCTAAACCTCTTTCCAGGTTTTTTAAAATAACAGATAGGTAGTGTTACACAGCGTCAGACGGAATAGGTAGTGTACACAAAGAACATAAGAGAAGCCAATGTTGGATCAGGCGGGCCAATGGCCCATCTAGTCCAACACTCTGTCACACAGAGACCAAAAATACCAGGGGCCATCAGGAGGTCCAGCAGGCTCTGGTTCTTCCTGATGTGCTCTGAATGATGCCTGGCTGTGGCCTCCTAAACCTCTTTTCCAGGTTTTTTTTTAATAACAGATAGGTAGTGTACACAAAGAACATAAGAGAAGCCAATGTTGGATCAGGTGGGCCAATGGCCCATCCACTCCAACACTCTGTCACACAGTGACCAAAAATACCAGGGGCCATCAGGAGGTCCAGCAGTGAGCTAGAAGCCCTCCCACTGTTCCTCCCCATAAGCACCAAGAATACAGAGCACCATGCATAATCTTATAAACCTCGATCATGTCACCCCTCAGCCGTCGTTTCTCCAAGCTAAAGAGCCCCAAGTGTTTTAACCTTTCTTCATAGGGAAACTGAAACACTGAACAAACGAAGACCGTAAACGTATTTATAGACACAGACTCGTTTATAGAAAGCAATCAACGTGTTTTGGAAAGAAGCTTCTTACGGTAATAAATTATCCCTCAAACCGTCCCTCACCTATAAAGGCGGGAGCTTCAGGAAAGGAAACATCTCTCACCGAAGATCCAAGTAATTAACAATAACGTCCGATACCTTTATTTCCTGAGTGCTCTTCTGAACAAATGTTGGGGCAACGTTAATTCCTCCGGAAGACTGGCTTTCTTTTCCTTGGCACAGAGAAGTCTTCCCCACTTGTTCGTTCCCCTTCTGAATGGGCACGCCTATTCAGTTGCGGAAAGGAGACGTGGTCGGCTTACAAACAGAATCATGTGCGACTGCCACTGCACAACACACAAGGCTGTGGTGATACACTTTGGCGGATGGTGTTATGGATGGATGCATATGAATTTAGAATAACACAAGCTTATCTGCTCAAAGTGGGGAAATAAGATCCTGGGTTACACTCCAGGAAAGAAGGCTGACACTTTTATTCTGACGGATGACCTGGGAAGCGGCAGCATCAATACACTGAAGTCTTTCTGGATGCTCTACCTGCAGCCTCCCCATAATCTCTGGCTCAAAGGAGTGGTACAGTGGGAGCTTCCTTTTCGTGGGAGCTTTATGTAAACGTGGGGGCAAGCTGTTCTCTATTGGGGGAGGGGGGAACCTGCTTGAAAGTAGCCCAGGCAAACTATGGTTTGCACAAATCATAGCTTGGTTGGCAACTGGCATTCCACACCACGATCAAACCATCTGATTGTGATTCGCAGTTCTGGCTTCTGGGCAAACTATGGGTTGCTGAGAAAGAGAAATGGGGCAAGATGGTTTGAAGGCACGCGGGGAAGGTCTGTGAGCCCGCGTTTGTGGCCTGCATGACTGGGAATATTAAGTCAGGATGTTATGGAAGTTGACTACACTCATCCGTGGTTCAGCACAGTCCCTGGGTACCATATAGGAAACCGCAATGAAACCAAGGCTGGGGTGGGTCAGACTCAGTGGATATGTGTTAGCTGGGCTTCACAAAGGGGCTGGGTGCTGCCCGCTCCTCTTTAAGGATGTCAAGGGAAGTCGCTTTCCCCACCTTGCAGAGCTTTCAGATGTCCCCTGATTTCTTCCACCTCGTCTTCTTCCAGCGAGTTCCCGTCACTCTGGCTTTCCTGTCTCGCCAAGGCGCTCCTGCCAACGCTCACAGACGCTCTGGGCTGCGATAATTCGGGTGAGATGTAGGACTGCATGATGTCGTCGTCCTCCACTTCATCCTCTGAGCTGAACGGTGAGGTTCTAAGAGAAAATCAATCCCCTGTTGTACCGGACCGTTTCTTTTTGACAGTTTCAGAGGGCGGCTGTGTTGTCCTGCAGTAGGACAGCTGGACTCAAGTCCAGGAGCCCTTTAGAAACCAGCAAGTCCTCTGATAAAGGGAGCTTTGACTCTTGGAAAGCTTACACCCAAAGAAATCTTGTTCGTTTCTAAGGGGCTACTGGAATCCAGCTGTTCATTTGAACAAATGCCCGTCCCTACAGCTAGACCTGGACAGAGGAAAACTCCCGCCGAGCATGGTAATCTCTTCAGCCTAAAGGCCCCCCGCGTTCTCCACTTAATCTCACCAAAGGAGGAAAAGAAGTGTCCCTGACAAAGAGCATTTTGGGATCAGACACAGAGATCTGCGCCAGTTCTGCTCACCAGTCACGCAGTGACACAATCATTCCCTGTGGCACATCTGGAGAGGTCCACTGTTCACCACGCCATTGGATGAAGTGACCCCTACGGTTGCTAACGTCAATTAATCTAGAGCACTACAACTCTGGAGGACACTGAGTGAACGGTGTAGGTTTCCAACTACGGAAACTCTCTCCCGTGTATTTGAGATCATTAGGGAAAGGTTACGAGTGCCATCTGGGGGCACCACAAGCTGGCCCGTAGCTACTTTGAGCTTTGTTACAGGGACAGGATATTTTTCTTCAAGCCAGCTGGCAACCTGTGTTCCCTCTAAGCTGAGTTAGTGTGAGCTAGCTCAGTTTTTTAACCTCCGGCTCATACATTTTTTTGTCTTGGCTCAGGAAGGATGGCTTCAGAGTAAACTAATTTAATGCAGCAGCCAAATCGCTGGCTCACAACTTAAATGCCAGCAGCTCACAAAGTAGAATTTTTGCTCACAAGACTCCACAGCTTAGAGGGAACATTGCAGTGGCAACCCTACAATTCCAAAGAGCTGACAAGCTTGAATCTTAGAATTAATTATGCAAAATAGTTTACACCGATACACATGGGTTCTGTCAGGGCTTTTTTGGTAGAAAAAACCCAGCAGGAACTCATTAGCATAACAGGCCACACCCAACAGCAGAAACTCATTAGCATATTAGGCCACAGCCCTGACAGCACAGCTCATTAGCATATTAGGCCACACACCCATGTTACCAGAAGTGTGGTAATCCAGCCACGCCCACCTTTTGCTTCTTATTCTGTTGACCTTGTTTGTGGTCAAAACCCAGGGCTTTTTTTGTAGCAGGAACTCCTTTGCATGTTAGGCACGAACCCCTAATGTAGCCAATCCTAATGCGTTTCTGCTGTTGGGTGTGGCCTATTATGCTAATGAGTTCCTGCTGGGCGTGGCCAACTCGGGAGCCAGCCGGAACTCCGTTCCTGTGCGTTCCTGCTCAAAAATAGCCCTGGGTTCTGTGTAGTATTTCAGCAGAGTACAGAATCTGGGTTACTGAGGTGCATGCAGCCCAAAGGAAGGAAGACTTACGTAAAACTCAGGGACTTTCTGGGAACGTTATCCCCCAAAACACTCTTCTTGGCTCTGGAAGGAACAAAGAGAAACTATATGCAGACTACTGCTTCCTGTAGCGATGTTAGAAATATTTATCTCTTAACATTTTACTTAATATGCTTGAGCTGGACAATGCCTAATGAATTCCTAAGCAGAGCTACACCCTTCTAAGAACACTGAAATCAAAGGGTGTAGAAGGGCATCTCTCTGTTCAGGAGGACTGCACCGTACATTTCGGAAAAGACAAATATTATAAATATTATAAATGCCCTAAGTAAACAAAACATGCCGTGTACATTGCCGTGTAGACAAATATTATAAATGTCCTAAGTAAACAAAACATGCCAAGGTGAGAAACCCTGCTTAGAAGGACATGCTCAACTTCACCTGGATGAAGGCGGGATTAAAGGAAGAGATTCCCCATTTCCTTTTCACTTTTATACTGTATCCACCGAGAAGCCACTTTACAACTGTAAAACCAACCTAACACTTCAACAGTATAAACCTAGCTGTAAGGTGCCCTCCTACTTTGGTGTAGATGTGTTTTCAGTAGCAATTGTTCTTCGTCCAGTCGGGCGCTTGGCAAAGGAGCGTTTCGCTGGTTTGGGTAACACTGTAGATAATGAACCTCCTATACGATAGGCCTCCTGCCTCACTGTAAGGAAATGCAAGTTCTAATCAGAATACAAGGACTCAGGAACAGCAGTATGCATATCCTTCCCACAAAACCATGGAGGAATCGGCCTAATATAATCCAGACAAATGTTACGTCCATAATAAATATGAGTGACTTTGCTTCCTTTGCATTGGAGAGAAACATTTTGTATAGTGATCAAGACGGGTAGCCCTGTTTGTCTGTCTGCAGCAGTAGAAAAGAGCAAGAGTCCAGGAGCACCCTAAAGACTACCAAAATATGTGGCAGAGTCTGAGCTTTCGTGGGTCACTGCCCACTTCTACAGACTGAGCAGTGACTCACAAAAGCGCATGCCCTGCCACATATCTTGTTAGCTTTGTATATTGTTCACAAGAAATCTCCCCAAAAAACTTCCCCTAAATTTAGTAAAAGACGACATAGTGCACTGGAAGACTGCAGCACCTAAATTCACTTCAGGCACCCCCTTAGTATTGTGTTACACTGGTGGAGGCCGTCAATCAGTGACGTTCCCAAGTTTTTGTTTATAAGAAAGGAGTTTCTGATATTCAGCAAAGGTGAGAGGTATTTAAAGCATAAAATTACAAGTAGATGAAATCTGGTATGATCCCTTAATCACAGACAGAAACGGTGAGCTCTTCCTCAAGCTGCCAAAGCTTTTGACCACAGTTTAACAAAGGTATCTAGTACCAGAACTGAAGATTCTCCTGAGGGGATTAAGATGATTTTGGAAGATGGTGCAAGCCCATATCTAGGCCTCTGCAGTCTGTGCATGGCCCTGAACCCTCGCATTTGTGAGAGCGTCTCTCCCCCTATGCTCTGCCATGACAGCCAGGTCTTCTGCAGGTGCCAACCTGCAAGTGGGCATGATCCACAACTGCCCTACACGTGGGCTTCTCCACTGTGGCCCCGACCCTGTGGAACGGCCTGCCAGGGGAAGTCAAGGAAGGCTCCCGCTCTCCTGGCTTTCCGCAACCTATGCAAAACTGAATTATTCAAGAGAGCTTTTCTATGCAGGCAATAGAGTCGCACTAAACAAAATAATTCTCAAAGTTACTTAGACAAGAAAACAGCCGCTACAGAAAGACTTACATGGCTGCCCATCTTGATCTTACTTAGGTAAGTTACTAGGGACTTCAGTCTATGCTACTGTGTTTAGCTTGCGGAAACTGGGATCCTACTGTGTAATTTCTGAATCATTTCATGTGTCAAGCTTTGCTTCAGTTCTGTTTTCAGATTTCTGATTGGTTCTACAACCCTAATCCAATTGCATTATTCACTGAATGTCCCACCCTGTCGATTGTACTGGCTCCCCCTGCGTGATCCGCCTTGTGTCCAGGTGAGAAAGGAGGACTAAAATCTACGTAAATAAAGGTAAAGGTAAAGGTTCCCTTGCTCGAAAGCCAGTCGAATCCGACTCTAGGGTTGCGGTGCTCATCTCCGTTTCAAAGCCGAAGAGCCAGCGCTGTCCGAAGATGTTTCCGTGGTCATGTGGCCGGCATGACTAAACACCAAGGCGCACGGAACGCTGTTACCTTCCCACCAAAGTGGTACCTATTTATCTACTTGCAATTTCTTGCTTTCGAACTGCTAGGTTGGCAGGAGCTGGAACTAGAGACGGGAGCTCACTCCGTCATGCGGCACTACTTGGGTCTCGAACTGCTGAACTACCGACCTTTCACAGCCTGCAGTTCAGCGTCTTAACCACTTGAGCCACCGCAGTAACAATAACAATAAATAAAATGAAAAAACTGACATAAATAAAGAAACCCCGCTGCCTCGGCCGATTGCCCTCGAAATATCAGTAACATGATTCTGCGACATTCCTTTCAAAGCACTCAATCATAAATTCATCACAAGACAATCAGCTTTAAAAAATTAATTAGTGTTCCAATTCTTATTCAATAACATTACAGTCCTCGACTATTGTAATTCAATAACATTCCAATCCTCGACTACTGTAATACGATATCAAGCTTTTAAAATTATATCAAGGTGGTACCTCACCCCCCAAACACTTGCGTATTCAAATTCTCAATTGAGTCCTATGTGTTGTAGAAAATGTGGGGTGGAGGGGTCCTATATACATTGTTGGTTCCCTCTGTCCAGTTTTACAAACTTTTTGGAAGATAGATCTTGACAACATAAAGTTAATTACTGGACATTCTCTATATTTTACACCAGAATGCTTATTATTAGGAGTTGGTGGGAGACCACAATTCTTATAATCACAATGTATTTTAATGATTTTGCTTCTATTGCTTCGCTTTGGAAGGTGTCTTTGTCTCCTACCTGAGATATGTGGTGTAAAAAGATTTGGGAGCAATATGTGCAGGCCAAGATTGCCTTTAATACTATGAATCCACCCTCCTCTAGAGCTGTAATCATTTTTGAAAACGTCTGGCGGCCCATATTAACTTTTTTATCATGTTATAAAGAAATTCCAAGGAATCTGTATACTAGCTTTGTTTAAGAATATGTTGTTTTATCGAAAAGTGTAATTACTGGACGTAACTATTGAATCCTATATGGAAAATTATAGTAAGACACTTTGAAATGTTAAGACCCTTATTTTTAAAATTTCTCGATTGTATAAGTTGTATATACCTTTTATTTTGCTTTTGTTGATGGGGAAAACTTGTAATAAACTTATTATTTAAAAAAGTAATTAGTGTAAAGAGCTCACTGTTATAAAATGAGCAGGCAAATTACTTCCAGGAATAATTTACATGGTTGGTATTGTTATCCATATCTGAATCCAGTGACGGGTAACAAAAGAAGTACTTGGGGAGCTGTCGCACCTTCCGAAGACAGATGAGGGCTGGAAAAAGGCCGACTGAAAGATGCTCTTTCTGCCACCCTGGAGTTGATTTGCCGTTCCAGCTGCTCTCGGATGTGCTGAATGTCGGGGACTTCTCTCTTTCTCTCTTCGCGAGCAGATTCGACAGACATTAAGACTCTGGTCAGATGATCACTAGGGATACCGCGAACTCCCTGGGAGGGAAAGGACGCACTCTAATTATACAGCAAATGTAATACGTATTAAGATTTAAACACTCTTTTCTTCCATTTTAGGATGTAAATACTTTTGCTTCCTTCTTTCAGACGAGCTAAAATATAGTATTTGTCTTTCAGAAGGATGTGATCTCTGACTCACAAACACTCATTTTGTTTTTAGGAGAGGAGCACCAAAATTTTGTTTATGACTGTGATGTGTTTTAATATTTTTAATGTTTTTATTGTTCTATTGTATGATTTGGCGATATGCCGTGTAAGCCGCCCTGAGCCTCCGGGGAGGGCGGGATAAAAATGTAAATAATTAAATAAATAAATAAATACATACATACATACAGGAACAAAGAGTGTTAGAGGGTTTTCCGCATTCACGTTTTCCTCACTTATAAATTCCTGTTCCTTTTTTTTTTGGGGGGGGGGGGTCCTGTTCTGCATGTGTTTTGCTCCCTCTAGTGGTCAATTTAATAGTACAGCAGTTTATGTCTGGCATAAAAACCTGCAGTTTAAATCTGCAGGGATATAAGCCGGACATAAACCCATGTGATATTGAATCAACCAATAGAGCGAGCAAAACACGTGTGGAACAGAACTGCTTTTGTACAGTAGTTTGCTCTGACACAAGTTACCAAGGGGTTCCCCCAAATCTATTTCAGCACTAATGAAGTATGTGAAGTGTTTTTTTTAAAAAAAACAAAATAGATTTTATCACTACCGTTACCAATTCAATAATGAACGTTTCTCCTTAATGTGCACCTAAATTCAGTTCAAGTTAGCTGCTTTGATTAAATATTGATTTCAAGAGCAGAGGGAATTATGTTCACAACTCAGATGACCCGAAGGCAAGTATAACAAATATTGCTGGGGTTATGGAAAGGTGCTAACCATAATTCAAATATAAAGGGCAAGGATAACACTGATGTCCATGGCCCAGTAACATGTGAAGAAGCGGCTGTCTCAAAAGACTCCTAAGAAACTAAAGTGACAGGGGGAAGGATCTGTCCCCTTCATCTCTTAAAAGAATGCAAAGTGATCTTACTGATTTAATTCCCAAGGATGCCAACTTCTCCGTTAGAGTCTGTTCCAATACTGCTCTCAACTCTTTTGTTAAAGAAGGGTTATTCTTCAAAGTGTTTATTATATGGTGTTTATTCTTCCCTACTTTGGTCTCACTTTTCTCAGTTTCTGAAACACAACAGGAATTATTTTTTTCAAACAGTAAGTCACAGCATCAATATATACCACGTTCACACATCAAAGAGGAAAAGACTACTATCAAAACATTTCATAAAAGAAGTTTGAAATGGCATCATATGGACACTTGTAACTCTACTTGGTTAATTTGCAATTCTGAAACAAAGCCATTTTGCTATGTATAAATTTCGTTTGGTTGCAAGAGACTGACATTCAAATCCTAGCATGGTCACAAATGTCATTGCGCATTCTTGGCCAAGTCGCAGTTTCTCACCCTGACACATCTCACAGGTTTATATGAAGATAAAGGATAAGAATAATCACTTTGTACATGGGAAAGAGCTACAGAAAAAAAACAGGAAGAACAGTAAATCTGTAATAATGCTCCAGATTTCTGAATGTGAAGAAGAGCAAGATGGTTCAGACAGATACAACATCAAACAATTATTTGGAATTACCTACTACTACCTCCTTCACATGCTTAGATATAACCAGTAGCTTCTGGTTTAGTGGAAGGTTTACTTCCAAATCGCAAAACATGGTTTGTACTTTCCCTCTGAACAAGATTGCAAACCACAGTTTGAAGCTAGTTTAGAGGACAAGCACAAACAACAGCTTGTTGGTTTGCAAGTAGAAGTAACTAACATAGGGCACAAGCAAACAGAGATGGTGGGGAACTGTGTGAACTCAAGGCTGATTCACGTAGCACCAAACTATGCTTAAACCCAGGGCTATTTTTGGGCAGGAACGCGCAGGAACGGAGTTCCGGCTGGCTCCCAAGTTGGCCATGCCCAGCAAGAACTCATTAGCGTAATAGGCCACACCCAACAGCAGAAACTCATTAGGATTGGCTACAATTAGGGGTGTGTGGCCTAACATGCAAAGGAGTTCCTGCTCCAAAAAAAAAAGCCCTGGGTTTTGTCAACAAACAAGGTAAAGAGAATAAGAAGCAAAAGGTGGGTGTGGCTGGATGACCACACTTCTGGTAACAGGGGTGTATGGCCTAATATGCGAATGAGCTGTGCTGTCAGGGGTGTGGCCTAATATGCTAATGAGTTCCTGCTGTTGGGTATGGCCTATTATGCTAATGAGTTCCTGCTGGGCTTTTTCTACAAAAAAGAAGAAGCCCTGTTTAAACCAACCGTCAATGTCTACTACTGCTCCATATTGGCTTCACTGGCACTGGGAGAAGAGACACGACAAGAAAGCCAAAAGGAGCATGAATCATGTCTGAACTTGTGCCTGAGAGCTGCCCCCATCTAGAAGAGCAGTAATAAATAGCTCTCAATGCAGATTAAAGTAGGGTTGCCATATTTTGAAAAGCAAAAAAGAGGACCTATTTCCCAACTGACTACTTCAAACAAGTGATCACTATGACAAATCTCATTTTAAATACCCCTACTATTTAAGGCGTGATAATTGCTAACTAGGAATGTTCCTAACCTTCCAACCCAAAAGGGGGACATTTTCATCAGTTTTTTAAAAAGAGCCTTAAGAGGACGGATGCCAAAAAAAGAGGACACATCCTTTACAAAGAGGACATCCGGTAACCCGGGAGTAAAGGGCAGGTGACATCTTCAGCGGAACACAAAACCAACGTCACTTTAAGTACAGATAGGCCCTAAAATAATGCAAGGAGGCCCCTCTAAATCCACACACCTGGCATGCTGGTCCTAAACCCTCCACCGTGAACAACTCCTAAGCCAGCGTTTTCGCACGTAAAAGTGTTAAAGCGTGAACAATCGCAAGCTGCCATTTTCACACGTGACATTCTGCATGTTCTCACATTATGAAATCCACAGTTCCAATCATACACGATGGCCCTGCCTTCGCTAAATTTAATCCAGAGTTAAACCTGCAATCTTAGCGGTCCAGAGAAAGACTGACGGTAGGAGTTGGAGGGCAGCAAAGGACAAACTTCTTTTTTTGGGGGGGAGAGAGAGAGACAAAAGTGATGGGTGGAATGCTTTAGAACCTTCCCCTACTGACAATTTCTGTATGTGCCTGGAAAATGTTATCCCCCCCCCCCCTCCTGCAATAAACCATGCTCGGAGTCTGAGAGACAGCAAAAATTGGTGTATTTATGTTCCCAATAAAGCATTTGCCACTATAGGCCACAGCAACGTCGACTGGTCCTAACATTACCTTTTTCATCCTCTGGAAGCTCCTCTATGGGCTCCAGCATGTGCACCAAAAGGGCCTGTTCTAATAACGAGGAAAAAGAGGAAGAGCACAGACAGAAAGACAAGACAGACAGGACAGAAGTAGGTCAAGATAAAGGCTCAGAGGGTGAAAACGATGCAGAAGAATACAAGGAGATGCCGCATTTGATGATTTTCTTCCGGCTTGCTAACTTCAGAGCCCAGCAAACTGCAATCGCTTGTAATTCAGGACACTGGTGGGAATTGCAGTGATTGTTTAGGTTAAGGCATGCCATGGTCAGCAGTTCACCATACAAGAGGAAGTGGGGTATTTACAGTCACGTTCAACTACAGCTGAAGCCATTATCCCTCTGCAAGCAAAGTGGCCGATGTTTGGGATCGGTACGAGGAGGTCAGAGAATACAACTGGGCAGGTCAGATGACACCTTCCCCATGGCCTCCATGGTATGGTACGTGAGCCAGCGTGGTGTAGTGCTTGAAGTGTCAGACTAGGATTGGGGAAACCCTGGTTCGAATCTCCACTCTGCCATGGCAGCTCGCTGGGTGTCCTTGGGCTAGTCACACGCTCTCAACCTAACCTACCTCACAGGGTTGTTGTCAGGATAAAATGGAGGCGGGGAGAGTGACGTAAGCCGCTTTGGGCCCCCACTGGGGAGAAAGGTGGATATAAATAAAGTAGATAATCTTTTGAGAAGTGTGAAGCTAATGGGCTTTCCACGGGGAGGAGAAGGTGTGCAAGCTGAAATCTCATTCCCGATTTCAATGTGCCCAAACAGGAGCGTGGAAGAAATATCACTCAAATGTGATTAACGACCCACTTCGTATCAGCCGACTGATTAATATCATCCCTCCTTTCTACTCAACAAGACGTGCTGCCAACAACGGTTCACGTAGTTTTTCTGCCAATGCTCCACAAACTGTTGACAAGTCTCGCTAGTCACAACTTAATTAAGTCCTGCTGATTTCAACAGAAATCAGGCATGAGACGAACTTTCTCCGGATTAGAGCCAAAATTTAATTCTCCACCAATTTAATATACCCAATGGTGCCTTAGGTTTTCAAAGGGATGTAACTTAGGGTCAAACTGGAAGTCGTGTGTGATCCAGCAGATCCAAGCCATTTATTTATCCGTAAGCATGTATCATTAATATAACTCCAAATGTTTCAACTAGTTTATTAACTGGAAAAAAAGAAACACAAGTCTTATCGGACTTATACAGTTTGTTGCTAGAAAGGAGGTGAGTTAGGGTTTCCCCTTTAAGGCACAGTTTTAATTACAATTATTATAACTATAATTACAGTTATAATTATAATAACTTATTATTTAAAAGGCCAGGAGGGATGGAACAAGGTAGGAAAAGAGAGAGAAAGACAGAGAAAGACAGAAAAACCTGCAGAGATAAATAAAAGTAAATAATCACCAACATAATCCACAGTGAAGACCCAATTGTGGTTTCAATCCTTAAACCCAGGAACCCCCTGCCCGCCTCAACACTTAAAAAGGTAGTTCTTTCTTATATGCTTAAAGAGATTATCAGCAATCACAGCTCCTATTGCCTACACTAGAAAGAAAGGAAAAGAAACAGAATCGGACGGTACAAACATAAGATTTAAATTTAATGAAGAGCACATTCCCCCATCTGTCAAAAATGGGGAAGACAGAACAGATAAAACAGTGATTGGAGGAAGCAATCCCCCTTTCATTCTTGCTCTTTCAAGAGTAAGCAATATGCTTAGTGGCGGCTGTCACAGGATACATCCGCCTCTAGTGAAAGATCTGCAGGAGTCACCCCCGCGCTCCTTCAGTCTAGAGTTGCGCCGCAGCGGCGTGATCTCTCGGTGTTTAAACTTTAAACCCCTTCTCTCTGGAGTCACGCCATAGAATAGAATGGAGAGATCGCGCCGCTTCTCTCTTTGCTCCCCCCCCCCAGCCTGCCTTGGCAGGCCAGCTGGAGAAGAAAGGGGGGGGTGTCTTCAAAAGCCTCCCCTTCCCCAGCCAGCCTGCCAAGGTGGGCCGGGGGGGGAGCGAACAGAGAAGGATTTTAAAGTGCTGGGGAAGGGAAGAGGAGGCTTGTGAAGAGGCCCCCCCCTTGCTTCCCCTTCTGACATCACTTCCGGTGATGTCAGGGGGCGTGGCATATGCTAATGAGCTATTATGCTAATAGCTTATTAGGTATGCTAATGAGCTCCTGCAGCTCTTTTTCTACGAAATGACCCCTGAAGATCTGCATGACCCTCAGCCTCTGTCTGTGATAGGGTTGCCAAATGGGCCCGGGGGGCGGGGAATCCCCCGCTTTGGCGGCCCGATTTCTGACACGACAGAATCGGCCCCCGGGGGAAACCCCACCCCTGCGTGCACGTCACCCGGATGTGACGTCGCACGCTGGGGGCGGGGCCACAGCCATTTGAGGGGAAAACTCTATGTTTTCCCCTCAAATGGCTGTAGCCCCGCCCCCAGTGTGCGATGTCAAATCCGGGTGACGTAGATACGTCGCGCGCGCGCACCGGGAGATCCCCAGGAGTCCCCCACCGAGGAGGTGAGTACCATTTGGCAACCCTAGTCTGCGAGACGCCAGAGGAGCTGGCCATTCCCGAAAACAGGACGGTGATTTCCATGCAATGAATATGGCCTTGGTAATTGGCAGATTCAACAAAACTGGCATCCATATTCACAAACGTATTCATTTCCCACACCTTTCGTGTGTTCAAAGATTGTGAGATGAAACTGAACATAATAAGGTTGAATGCTTTTTTACAATTCCATTATTATGAGCTTTATTCTGGGTTGGCCCTACTATTAGGTAGACGGAGGTGGCTGACTCAGGGTCAGGGTGGCCTCAAATACTGCTAGTACGTTCGGCATAGCATTCTGGCTGCTGGGGGCAATAATCTGGATTTTCTGAATTATTTCGGCCCAGCCCTGTTTATTTTAGTACAGCAGAACTATACAGTCAAGTCTTGCTCCATTAAAAAGTTCTGACTGGCTGCAGAACAAATTACTGCTCAGCAGAGGTCATTTCGGGGGGGAACGTGGGGGATCGCAGTTCCCCCCGGTGAGTTACGGGGGGCGGGGCACATGACGAAGCCCCGCCCCCTGCTTCCGGCCGCCCCGCTTCTGGCCCTCATTCAGCCAGGAGGAGGCAGGAGAAGAGGGAGGGTAAGTTGCTTCCTCCCTGCCTCTCCCCAGCCCTGCCTGCCTGGGGCCAGGGAGGGCCTTCGCAGGGCTTCCTTGCACTCCCGCCGGCCTTGCAGGTCCACCGCCGGGCCCCTCATGGGGCTCTGCAGTGGAGCTGCAAGGCCGGCACCGGCGGCCGGGACCGTTGCGGGCGGGGTGTGTGGCCTTATGACACATTTCCGGTGATGTCAGGAGGTGTGGCCTTATGATACACTTCCGGTGATGTCAGGGTGTGTGGCATATGCTAATGAGTTATGCTAATGAGTTCCCCTAGCTCTTTTTCTACAAAATGACCCCTGCTGCTCAGGAAGAAAATGCCAACATGTTAAATTTCCACATGATCCCTGACATTAATCTGATCAATATCTTTGAGAAGAGTCTAATGGAAAAATTATTGCTCTGTTAAATTTAGCTGTTACTTATCATCATCTCAGGGGACGGTGATCACTAAAGATTGGATGTCTATTGAAGAGACTCACCATGCACAGACGGCAGACTTGATTTAGGTGGGACAATATTCTGTCCTGCAGCTTTTGCTGGAAAAGCAAAGGGAAAAGACAGAAACTACAGATCCATGTGCTTCCAAATATCCTTCTCAATGCAACTCCAATAACAGGAATTGTTTCCCCTACTGCGTATTCAGGAATTACAAACTGGAAAACAAGGGAGTAGATCCAACCATCGTTCAGGCAGCCTTTAGGGGTGTGTACAAAAAAAATTGGTATCGGTAACCCAATATCAGTATGGTACTGGGATTCGGGAAATATTTAAGATTGGAAATGTGGGGTATGACTAGAGATGTAAAATTTCTGGAAATTTTGAAGCTCGGGGAAAAAACCCAGGTTTTTTACGTTTTGTTTTTTTTAACGGAAATTATCAGAAAAATTGGGGGGAAATGCTACATTAGCACTTCTTTTTTCTTTTCCAGATTGAAAGTCATTCTGTTACTTTAGGAACATAAAATATGACTATGGACAATTTTACTTAGCATGAAATTATCACAACTAGCATATTAAAATATAGTGTATCCAGTTATTACAAACAGAATTTACTTTTTAAATAGTATTTATTTGACATTGTAACAAATGGAGCAACAATCTCCTAAGCTGTTTACTAGTTTATGTGGAACAGACAAAAAAACCTCCACAAAACAATTTTTAAAAATCCAGAAGTAACAATTATTCATATTTCCTCTCCACAGTATTATATAATAAAAAACCCATTCTCATAAAAAGAATTGAAGAGGGGGGAAGTGTATAGAAGGGAGTGTGGGACTAAGTTTCTATGAATGGGCATGAAATTTAATCAGAATCATTTTCTGAGCTGTAATTATCAGTATCAGTTTCAGTCTCTGCTTCTGCAGCTACTCTGTTGTTGTGTCTGTCATTATCCATTGGAGAGTTCAGTTTGTAACCTAGGACTTGCTTGTCCTCAGTGCGCAGAAATTGGATTAATCTGACACCATACATATTTTTTAGAAATGATTTGGAAAATATTTGAACACCTTGTCTTAAAATATTTTATTCATCATGTTAAAATAAAACGTTCCATAATCAATTTTTTCCCTTTTCTTTTTTCAATTTTTCGGGAAAAAAAACAAAAAAGGCTTCAGGGCCTTCACATCTCTAGGTATGACTATGTGAGCGTCTGCTGCAACGTCAGTTTTGGGCAGGTCCGGCACACCCTCCGCAGCCTCGGGTCTCGACAGGCCTCAGAGAGGCGAAGGAGTCAGCAGCACCTTAAGTCTTCCTCTTCTTTCTCCTGTCCACCCGCATAGCTGGTTAGTGGACAGGAGGACTCGCATGTCCTCCCAGGCCTGAGTCCCTGGCCCTTATTTGGGAGCTCCCCTGGGGGTGTGCCCGCGCCTCCCTGCCTCCATGAGGGTTGCCCCACCCTCCTTGGTCGACTGGCAGGAGCTACTGCGATTCTGGTGTGATTACGCCATGGTCGCCTCTCCGCTCACCCTCCCACCCCCATTAAAAGGCTGCCCTGCCTCCCCCTCGACCAGCTGGCACCAGCACACTATAGCTCAGGGTCGCCCCACATGGCAGTTGCTCTCTTGCCTGACCCTGCTGGGTCGGGTGGTGTGCCACTGGCCTCTTGGGCAGGCCCAGTTTCAACGGGCCTACCAGACGGAGACCAGACTGCCTTGCTGTGCTGACCAGCAGAGGCGGGGCTGTATGTGAGCAGGCTTACTCCAGCTGACCCTCTCCTCTTCACCCCTAGTAAGTATGGGGATGCCGTGACTACCCCCAAACAAAACATTTTAATAAATTAATGTTAAAAATAACCTTTGCTCAATGGAGCGGTGGGAGACGGGTAAGATATATAACTCTATCAAGCGTGTAAGAGCAATGTTATCTTAAAGTTTCCCCTGCTTCTGATTTCTACTTACCATCAGACAGCTTGATGCTTTCTACTGACTTGGTAATCAATTTTTGTATCTGGAATACAAGAACAGTGAACGCCAGACAAAGATTGAGCAACGAGAACCTGCCTCTTGTGGTCAAACTATGCAAGACGTGGAAGATCAGTGACGGGATTTCCCAACATATTTTTTTATGTTAACGGGAAACTGTAAAAAAAGCCAAACCCATATGGATTGTGGCCCTGGCACAGATGGAGGCAGGGAGATTACCACCCCCAGAATGCTCTTTTCCCAAAGGAATCAACATGCACACTGGCAAACTGCTATTAGATCTTGTACTGGAAAAAGTCGAGCATAATATCGGAAGCTAATATTACAGTGGGGGGAAAGGGTGGGGGGATCTTTACGAGCAGGATGACATAGGGGGAAGCAGGGCCCTGGTGGCTGCTTCTGAACATCCAGAATAGCTGGGCTGACAGACAGGCATCTAGCAGTGCAGCACTTGGCACTTGGTGGCGGAGGTGACCTGTCCCCTGTACAAAATAAAATGCCAAGGTCACAGCCCAAGACCCCTGCGGTTCTTGTCAGGTCACAAGAGGAGGTAAGAGAAAGCAGGATCTTTATTTCTGCACAGGGAGCACCCAGCTGAGCTGCAAACACTCGAGCTGGGTAGATTAGCAGGACAAAAAGTGTCCTGTTCCCAAGGTCTCTGCGCCACCACTGTATAGCTTGTGGGGCAATTGCAGTGCCACAATGGGTGCGTTCAGACGGGGCACTTAAGCCGGTATAGAAGCCGGTTAGAAATAGAATACTTTTTTAAAATTTTTTGTTTTATTGTTTGTTTAAATTGTTACATTGAGTGTTTATATTTATTTACATTTTCTCCCCTCCCTCCCTCCCTCCCTCCCTGCGCGCCTGAAGTTTGTGGACAGTGTGGACGCCAGGGAGCAATGTGCTGCACGGTGAGACAGGTATGTGTGACCGCGCTTGTCGCCGGATCAAATTAGTCCAAGTTGGAACCAGAGCAGTTTAAACTGCTCCGCCACACCATCTGAACACACCCAATAAGTGGTTTTTAGGACCTAAACTGGAAGGTATTTTTCTCTTTATTTAATTTCTCATATTTTATTTAATAGATTTTACTATTGGTTCTATTTTGGAATATAAGGTAAAGGTTCCCTTGCTCGAAAGCCAGTCGAATCCGACTCTAGGGTTGTGGGGCTCATCTCCGTTTCAAAGCCGAAGAGCCAGCGCTGTCCGAAGACATGTCCGAAGACCCTCAGCATGACTAAACACCAAGGCACACAGAACGCTGTTACCGTCCCACCGAAGTGGTCCCTATTTATCTACTTGCAATTTCTTGCTTTCGAACTGCTAGGTTGGCAGGAGCTGGAACTAGAGACAGGAGCTCAATCCGTCATGCGGCACCTGGGTTTCGAACTGCTGAACTACCAACCTTCCACAGCCTGCAGTTCAGCGTCTTAACCACTTGAGCCACTGCAGCTCCTATGTATCTTTATCCTTATTTCCAGGTACATATTACTGCCAGTATATACAACTACTTCTGACACAAGGCCAGATATATTTGTGGTCCCAAATAGAAACTTTTTGGTGCGTCATTCGATTCCATATTGGAAGTAAGTATATTTGGGTACAGTAAAATATTTTTTAATATTGGATGGAATTTTCAATTGAATTATTAAATATTGATCTATTTATTTATTTCATTTATACCCCGCCCTCCCCGCACGCAGGCTCAGGGCAGCTTACAAGGCACAAAGTGCAACAGAGATAAAACAAATTAAAACAGTTGAAGCTAAAATTCACAACTAACAGGATACATCAAAGACTGTAATTACACACTCCCCATTGCATATCAGGAGGAGGTCAGGAAGGGGGACGCCATGGGCCACGATGTTCCAGTTGTTCCATCAGCCCAACCCGGCGGTACTGCTCTGCAGTTACACGGTGGTGGTAGTGGCGGCGGTGGCTCCTACTCAAAAGCCTGGCGAAAGAGCTTCGTCTTGCAGGCCCTGCGGAACTGTAAAAGGTCCCGCAGGGCTCTGATCTCTTCCGGGAGCTCATTCCACCAGGCAGGAGCCGCCACTTTTTTTTCTTTCTGTATAGCATTCCAATTTTGGTCCTATTTTATTTATTGTTAATTGCCTTATATGTGTTACAGGGACTCTGTTGCTTGTTGTATTTTGCACTATTTGACCTCTGAAGAAAGCTCTTGTGAGCCAAAACCGGTCAGGCTTTTTGTGTCTATTTGTAACTTTGTGGGTTTTTTTGTGTGTCTATTTGTAACTTTGAACATTTTATGAGGCTTTATTTGGCCCCCTACTGTTTTTTTATGTGTCTTTGTAATAAACACTCTTTTGTACACTTATGTTTTTAACTTTTGGACCTCAATAAGTTTTCTAAACTTCCTTCAGAGGTTTAAAATAAGACAGGCCTTTTGCCTTCGGCCCTGGGATCTTAGGTACATGACATCAATATAAAACCAACCTGGTGTTTCTGTGTAATAATAAGATCATTCTGTTCTTGAAGCCTCTGCCCCAGTTCTTCTATCCTCTTCTTATAGAAGGCGTTGCTTGCATTTAGGTCTTCAGTCATTGATGCCTTGAGCTGCTCAATTTGGGACAGAAGCTGAAGGAAAAATACAAGCCCGGGGAATGCAAAGTGTTCTAAATGTCACCTGAAACATTATGCTCCTTTTACTTCAATTAAAAAAAAAAAAAGGTTATTGCTTTAGGGCTTGGGTCCTATATCTTTGCTTTGCATGTGCCACGGAGCCCGCTAGGCACTTATGCTTGCGCCAGACCAATATTTTCTCAAGGAGTACCCAAGTGAAAGGAACAGGCCCTGCAGTGGAGGACCACCTCTGAAGTGCCTGAAGAGAAGCATGCACGGAGCAACAGGCTCAAAGCCTAAGTTTGTGTCCCCTTTCTTCTAGAAATTCTGGTGCAAGAAAACGTTTGCCTATGTAGGGGAAAAGCCAGAGCCATCTCCCATAGCTAGCTATGGCCGATGGGAATCCATACGCCTAGGGGGCTTATTTCTCTTCTATAAAACATGGTGAAGTCCCATTTGCACACACAAGGCCACTTTGAGGAAATAATTTTAAGAAACTGAAGTCTTTGCCTAAAGTCATCCATTGGCTCTTGCAGTTACCATGCTCTGCATCCTCTATGGGAATTAGGGTTGCCATGTCTGGGTTGTGAAACACCTGGGGATTCTGGGGGTGGCGCCTAGGGAGGGTGGGATTTGGGGAGGGCAGGGACCTCAGCAGGATATAATGCCACAGAGTCCACCCTCCAAAGCAACCATTTTCTCCAGGGGAACTCATCTTGGTTGTCTGGAGAGCCATTGTAAAAGCGGGAGAGCTCCAGGTGACACCTGGAGGTTGGTAACCCTAATGGGAACGCCCTAAGAGCAAGACAGAGACTGTTACAGCAATGAAGAACAGTAAAATGGTGGTTAGTATGCTGCTCGTTTAAAGGGAAAACAAATGCTCAACTTGAGACTGGATTACTGTACTGCCCTCTTCATGGGGCTGCCCTTGTCTCAAACCCGGAAGCTGCAGCTGGTGCAAAATGCCGCGGCCAGGCTATTGACGGGACTCCCTACTCGGGAGCACATCCAGCCTGTGCTAAAGGCACTGCGCTGGCTGCCTATAGCATACCGGATTCGTTTCAAGGTGCTGGTTCTTACCTTTAAAGCCCTTTATGGCCAGGGACCTATGTACCTGAGGGACCGCCTTTCCCCACATATACCCCAGAGAGCACTGCGATCAGGGGTTCAGAACCAGCTGGCCCTTCTGAGTCTTAAGGAGGCCAGGCTAGTAACAATCAGGGCCAGGGCTTTCTCGGTGGCGGCTCCACTCTGGTGGAATGAGCCCCCAGAAGAGATCAGGGCCCTGCAGGACCTTTTGCAGTTCTGCAAGGCCTGCAAGACGGAGCTCTTCCACCAGGCTTTTGGAGCCGCCGCCCCCACTAACAACTGACAGCTTGAGACGGGAGAGCCCTGTTCCCCCCAGGATCTTTAAGTATAGCCTGAGCCAGCCGCCTAAGACGACCTAAGAAGACTAGAAGGCTGACTGCGAACTACGTAACAACTACCACTGTGAAATTATGAAATTGATACTAGCACTTTATTATATTTATGGTTTTAGCACTGTGTAATTCTTATATGTTGTTCCTAATCTATTTTATGTGTATTGTAAAAATTTTAGATGTTTTATGTAAGCTGCCCTGAGCCGGCTTTGGCTGGGAGGGCAGGATAGAAATTTAATAAATAAATAAATCAAATCAATCAAGGAGGTGCAAAATGCTACAAACTCTGTGCTAGCTTAATACATGTATCTTAATTTCTGGACATCTTAAGTCGCCCTGAGCCGGCTTCGGCCGGGAGGGGAGGATAGAAATCTAATCAATCAAATCAAATGGTGCAAAGCATGGTACTGAATGTGGCTTCAGACAGCATCTGACAGTTTCCCCTGATGAAAAGCCCCACAAGTAATTCTTTGTATGTGTCTCTAGTTTGCAAGGAGCTGGAAATAAATTAATAAGCAACCATCTTTGTGAAACGTATGTCTTTGCCTTGCTACTTGCTTGTAAGACAGTCTGGCGACCATCTCCTGAACTTGTTACGTACATCCACTTGTGACATCCAAAATCCTCACGTGAGGAAATTCCCTGCTGACATCCTAAATGGCTAATAGGAATACCCACAGAGATTAAAAAAAAATTAAAACTCAACAGAGATGAAGTTCCATGGTAAAAAGTTCACGTTTGGAAAAGGAGGGCATATAAATTCCTACCTGTTGGTGCTCCTTCTAACATTAGTAATTTCTGAGATAATTGCTTCATTACATTTTTAATTTTGTTACCTGCCCTAAGCGCACTAAAGAAAGGTGATATAAAATAAAATAGTTATACATAAAAGTGGATAAAGGATCACGGAGGTGCAGGGATGAAACCAAAAGGAAATCTAAAAAGAATTGGGGAGAAATAAAACAGATAAATGCATGAACTATATAGATATTATTAAAGAAAAGAGATTAGGGGCTGCAGAAGCACAGAGCACAAAGCAAGCACGGAGCAGCTGAGGTATATTTAAAACAAATGAAACACCACAGAAGAGCTGAATCCAGACTCCTCCCTTCCCTCCTCCCAATCTCTGGACGTTACCTATTTTTATTTTAAGAACGTAATAAGAGCCCTGCTGGATCAGACCAGTGGTCCACCGAGTCCAGCATCCTGCCTCACACAGTGGCCAACCAGTTCCTCTGTATGGCCAACAACTGGGCGTAGAGGCCGAGGCCTTCCCCTGATGTTGCCTCCTGGCTCTGGGATTCAGAGAATTAGTGCCTCTGAATGTGGAGATTCCCTTTAGTCACCAGGGCTGGTAGCCACTGATAGATCTATGTGCCATGGATCTGTCCAGGGGTAATTTGGTAGAAAAAGAGGTGCAGGAGCTCATTAGCACAACTCATTAGCATAAGTTATTTGCATATGCCACACCCCCTGACATCACCGGAAGTGTGTCAGAAGGCAACACCCACCGCTCAGGCTCCACCCCCAAAATCTCCAGGTATTTCCAAGCTCAAGATTCAAAACTGGGTCTCCCAAATCCTTGTCTGGAACACTAACCACTACACAACACTTCATGGGGCAGCGGCTGTTGAGCAGTTATGCAAGATGCATGGTGTCAAGTTCTCCAGTGGCTGCTGTCAGGCCTGACACGCTCTCGAGTTCTAGTATTTTAGAAGCGGGAGAAAAAGTTCTCTTGCTCAGTTCTGTCTATGCCATGCATCGTTTTATGAATCTCTGGCTGATTTCGCACTAGGGCTGCCTCGATGTTGCGCCGCCGTTTGCCCCGATATTATTGGTCAATTTCACACCCGAAGCTGCAGGGCTGCATTTTAACTCGAGGCTTCGCACGATTACCCCCGCCGTTTCGTGATCCTGTTTTTTGAGGATCACGAAACTGCAGAGGAAGCCGGGCGAAGCCGCGGGTCAAATGCAGCCCCGCGGCTTTGGGTGTGAAATCGACCAATAGTATCAGGGCAAACAGCAACGCAACATCGACGCAGCTCTAGTGCGAAATCAGCCACTATCACATGCCCTTTTTAGTTGTCTCTTTAATAAATGGAAAGAAGAAGAAGAGAAGACATTGGATTTATACCCCGCCCTTCACTACCCAAAGGAGTCTCAGAGCGGCTTACAAACTCGTTTCCCTTCCCCTCCCCACAACAGACACCCTGTGAGGTTGGTGGGGCTGAGAGAGCTCTTGACAGAAACTGCCCTTTTTCAAGCACAGCTCATATCAGAACTACGGCTTGCCCAAGGTCATCCAGCCAAGTGCAAGTGGAGGAGTGGGGAATCAAACCCGGTTCTCCCAGATTAGAGTCTGCGCATTCAACTACGACACCAAACTGGCTCTCCCAGATTCTTCAGCCTTTCCTCATAGGAAAGGTGCTCCAACCTCCTAATCATCTGGATTCTGTACTTTTCCCAACTCTGTGATGTCCTTTCAGAGCTACAGTGAACAAAACTGCAAACAAGACCACACCATATTATATAGGGGCATTATAATACTGGCTGTTTTATTTTCAATCACTTTTCTAATAATCCCCGGCACAGAGTTTGTCTTTTTCACTGCTGCTGCACGCTGGGTTGACATTTTCATTGAACTACCCACTACGACCTCAAGGTCGATTTCCCTCCATTACAGATAAGCTTTGTGTATAGAAAGATTAATGTATAGCTTTACCTGGTGTTTTTCATTTTCATGTTCTTCTTGAAGCGTTTCTACTTTAGAAGCCCATTTAGTTTCCTGTGTAAAACAGAGTACATGCTGTTTGACCATTTGTATACTTTCTATTTAACTTCAGCTAAATAAAACATAGCACGAAGGCCCAGGAACATGACCTCATGAACACAGCATGAAGACTCAAAGGGGAGGGGGAGTCCATTCCCTCCAACTCCCACCCCCCCCGCTCTGCCTAATTGCCCTTTTTTGTTTCCCCCCCCCCTCTCCCCATCTTACCTGGTCATGAACCACCATCCCAAATACACAGAGTAGAGCATTCTCCTCTGGCAACCCTGACCTGCCCACTTGCACATTTTCCTCCCAACTCCCCAACCAGCCTGGACATGCGTGCCCCCCCCCCATTAGCTGATCCCCACCCTTAATTTAAGAAAACCCTCTTTTTTCAAGGACTGCTTTGTTTTATTTCTGCCACATCTGCACAAGCACAGATATGACAGGTTACTGAAGGGGTTAACTTTATATATCTCTCCCTTATATATAAAGCCGTAGTGGGCTCCAACGTTCCAAATGCCCACCTTTAGTGTTTGGCCACAAGAACTGTCAGTCAGAAGACGCTGGCTGGGTTGACTGGCTGCTTTGTGCAGTCCCGCCCAGCGTTTCAAGGTCTTTTGCATATGGAAGCTGATTGGACTTCACTCCATTCCACACCTCAAACCCCCCCCCCCGCAAGGCAGTTGGAATTTTCAGTTGCATATGGAACCTACTGTATTCTGAGGTAAAATATGTCCTCACTCACAACACATCACTTCCCCTTCAAAATAAACAAACCCAATAACACAATCATGCCACATCACAAAGAAGACAGATCACACCACAAGCAGAATACCACAAGGCAAAAAAAGATAGGAGCACTCTCCCAGAGCCTCTTTCTAGATCTCGTTGTATTTATTTCCACAACGGGCCTTATTCCTAGTACAACTAATAAAGTGCTAGCATTAATTCCTCAAAGCACGGTCGGCACCAAGAGACTGGATTTGTACCCCGCCCTTCACTACCCGAAGGAGTCTCAGAGCGGCTTACAAACTTCTATCCCTTCCCCTCCCCACAACAGACTCCTTGTGAGGTGGGTGGGGCTGAGGGAGCTCTGACAGAAACTGCTCTTTTTGCAAGAACAGCTCTTATCAGAACTACGGCTTGCCCAAGGTCACATCAGCAGGTGCAAGTGGAGGAGTGGGGAATCAAACCCAGTTCTCCCAGATTAGAGTCCGCACACTTATCCACTACACCAAACTGGCTCCCGCCAGTTGTTGCACAGGTACTAGTAGCGTAACAGAGGCACTCTGAGCATGCTTGCCCAGTATCTAAGTAGACTACACATCCTGCTCCCCCTAGCTGGTAATAAGTGTGTCACATTTCCAAGCTAGCCAGGCTGCGGAGGTAGGAAGAGTGCTGCACGACAGTGCCCCCAAATGGGCTGTGGTCCTGAGCAAGGGATCCGAACCCATCAGAGAGGCCACACGTGTCTAAGGATGCACGTAAAAGAGAGCCACACATCGCTGTGAGATTCATGATGGAGCAGTGAGTGTTTAGCCTACTGGGGAATATCCTTTGTAACTACCGACTGCCATCACCAGAAAGCGGCCAATCTGAACAGTGCATAGCTACTGCTCCGATGGCATAACATCATGATTAAATTACAATAATGTGTCGGTATGGCAGAGTGGCACAGAGAGCATTCACAGCACCCACAGCTATCCACATCCCCGTCCACACTGCTTTAGCGACAGGGAGAGTTCAAATGAGTAATCTGAGTCTGAACATTCAATGAGTTATAGAGATTTATGCTGTTTGGCTTGCCTGGGGGTGGGGGGAGGGGGAGGGCTGTTGGAGGAGAGCATTTGGTTGCAGAAACTGCCTGGTTAATAGAAGTCAGTATTGTACTACATTCCTAGCTTTGAGCAAGATAATTCAGTTTTGGGGGCACAGAGTATGAGTAACCTTTAGGGCAGGGGTGTCAAACATCTGGCCCGGGGGCTGAATGAGGCCCCCCCAGGGCTTCTATTAGACCCACAAGGGACTGGCTGTCTCCTGCTTCTTCCTTCAGTTCTGCTGCTGCTGTTGTATCATAGCTTGCTTTCCTAGACTCTCTCAATCGCTCAGGAGAGATAGATAGGCAAGCTTCTGCTCCCTGCACTGGGCTGAGGCTCCTCCTCCTCCCCGATGGCTACAGCACAGACATTTTGATGCAATAATTCAGAGCAAGAAGTGTCAGTTATCAGAGACTGTTAAATAAGCAAAGTACTGGAAGAATGCTAATGTTTCAGGCATGTTTTTATTTTTAGTAAAAAAAAAAACCTTCGGGTTTGTGTCCGTTATAAAGTTTATATCTCTGTTACCTGGCATTACATTTTATGACACACTTGGCCTGGCCCAATTTATGTCAAATCTGGCCCTCCATAAAAACAAGTTCGACACCCCTGCTTTAGGGCATATGGGGTCAGATATAATATGCCCACTGCTGCAGGCTCTGCACAAAATTTCTGACGTCTGAGTCTACTCTGGGAACCTGACCTGGATAGCCCAAGCTAGCTCGATCTCGTCAGATCTTGGAAGCTAAGCAAGGTCCTTCCTGGCTAGAATTTGGATGGGTGACCTCCAAGGAATACCAGGGGTGTGACAAAAAGGCAAGCAATGGCAAACCGCCTCTGAAACATCTCTTGCCTTAAAAACAAGCCTAGCTCACCACCTAGTGGTGCGTAACGCTAAAAGAGCTAGAACTTCCGGCTGCCAGACAATCTTCGGCTCTCCTGGCTATAGTACACACACTGCCATACGATAATTATTATTATTACTACTCTGGAAATAGCCACCGTGAAGCAATGCGTCATTACAGTACTGCAGAAAATCATTATATTTCGCAGGCTGTTTTCCCTTTTGTTTAGCTACACTATACTCCATTATCCTTAATGGATATCTGTTAATTCACAAAGGCTTTACCTTATTATTCAGAACCATTCGTTTTTCTGTGGTATGTTTTGCAGTTCTTATACGACGTGGAATCTAAACCCAATCACAGGCTGAAGGGCCCATTTACCACATCTCTAAAGCACAAGTTTGCAAGCTGAGGCTCTGGAATTGGTGGTTCTTCCCTTGAGAAAGCAGGAGAAGATCACCCCAGGGATCCAATGTCCAGGGTGTATAAACAGGGACAAGGGAAGCAGCCTCTGTGATCACTGCTCGTCGACTCCAGTCACAAATTACCTGTCTTTCAAGAAGCTGAATTACACTCTGGTCTTCTGCAGCATTCCGAGGTTTCTCTTCTGGAAATTCATAGCTGTCTTTTAATGTGCCTAAATTAGATTTCAAGTGTTTGTTGGACTTCTGTAATTCTACCAGATGCTAAAAGATTAAAAAAGAGAGAGAGATAATCCCAATACATATTGCCTGAAAGTGCCACAAAATGGAAACCAGGTCTCTATTAAACATTGTTATAAGTTTTTTACGGTTGCAAGGAACATCGCAAACCTGCCCTTTTTGGAGACAGGTAAGCAGATACAGACAGACAAGACAGATGAATGAATGAACAAAAATATTTTGTGTACTCTGCTAGGAAAAAAGGCTCCTAATGAGAAAAGTATTTATTGCAACTTGCCAGTGTGGTGCAAAAGACACAGTGCTGGTTCAAGTCACTGCTCATCATGAAACTTCCCGGGTGACCCTGGTCAAGTCATTCCTCTCTGCCTAATGACTGTCACAGAGTTGTTAGGAGGATAAAAATGGAGATGGGGAGAACTGAGTATGCTGCCCTGAGCTCCCTGGATGAAGTGAGGGATAAAAATGTACTCAATGGAAAAACTAACTCCTCCATTTTATCCTCACCACCAATGCTCCCTTCTAAGCTGTGGAGTCTTGTGATCAAAAATTCTACTTTGTGAGCGACTGGCATTAAAGTTGTGAGTGAGCGATTTGGCTACTGCATAAATTAGTTTCCTCTGGAGCTCTCCTCCCTGAGCTGAGACGAAAATGTGTGAGCCAGAGGCTAAAAAACTGTGAGCTAGCTCACACTAACTCAGCTTAGAGGGAACACTGCTCACAACAACCCTGTGAGGTAGGTTAGGCTGAGAGTGTGTGACTGGCCCAAGGTCACCCGCTGGGATTCCATAGTACAAATGGGGATTCAAACCTGAGTCTTCTAGATCTTAGTCCAACACTCTTAACCACTACATCACACTGGCTCTCAGTTTCATATTGTGTAGAAAAAGAAGAGTTGGTTTTTATACCCCACTTTTTCTCTACCCAAAGGAGTCTCAAATCAGCTTACCATCGCCTTCCCTTCCTCTCCCCACAACAGGCACCTCTCGTGAGGCAGGTGGGATGGAGAGATTTCTAAGAGAGCCGTGACTGGCCCAAGGCCACCCAGCAGGAGAAGTGGGGAATCAAACCTGGTTTGCCAGAGTAGAATCCGCTGCTTAACCACTACATCACGCTGGCTCTAGAGTCTCCTCCAGAATGCTCCACGTTGAGCTGACCTCTGGCCTCATGCATAAATTTAGGTATATGCAGGCAGAAGGATTTTGTCTTTGCAACATAAAACTATGGCCATACCAAGAAGTTATAAAACTTCAGCCCAAGAAAACCAGTATTTACAGTTCAAGAGGTTACATTCTGCACTCTAAATATTATGACAAGATACAGATTGAAACTGTAGTCCAAATACTTACATTTTCTAATTCTGTATTCTTTGATGTTAGCTCTTTAAACTCCTTCATAAACATCTCTTTCACTTTCTCTAACTCAGTGGCCAGTTTTTCTTTTTCCTCTTCTTTCCATTTGTAAAATAAGTGCCGAAAATCTTCCTCTTTTGACCTGTGCTCCTCATGTTCCTGAAATCATTCAAATTATGCTGAGAATTCTGCCAAGGTGGATACAAGCACGAGATTCAAAACATCACAAAGTCAGCAGCCCGAAGTTCTTCCCACTGAGAAATCCAAGTTACATTGTGTCAGGGGTCATTTCCTGTGGGAGCGCACAGGAGCGGAACTCCGGCAGTAAGGAGCCCAGGGGGCAGGCACATGCAACAAGCCCCATCCCCTGCTCCCAGCAGCCCTCAGTCGGACCCCGAGGAGCAAGAAGCAGCCAGGTAAGTCCCCCCCGGCCCGCCTTCAGGCACAAGCTCTCCCTCCTCTGTGAGGACAGATCTGCACGTTCCCCCCCCCCCAATAGCTCGCAATCCAAAACACTAAGCAATCCAAAACAGTCCAGTGGAGCCTGAGCGGTGGGTGGCGCCTTCTTCCGGTGATGTCAAGGGGTGTGGCATATGCAAACTTATGCAAATAACTTATGCTAATGAGCTCCTACACCTTTTTTCTGTGAAATGACCCCTGCATGGTGTCCTCTTGTGGACTCCTAAAAGGCTTTTAAGCTGCCTGTTACCTACTGAAATAAGTTATTTCTGACTCCGCTTCCTACAGTATTTCAATCTCTCAAGAGCTTTGCTTAACAGTTAAAAGCCATGAAAGTGTTTTTCAGAAAACAAGGCCTGCTTGCCAGCGCAGCAAGGCCCCTGTTCAGACATGCTGAGCAACTTTCTTTCCTTGTCATGGAGTCCCTCAGACCTGAGCCGTCATCTTCGGTTTCCCTCCATCTTTTCATGCCTCAGCCTTCACCCTGTTCCTGATGTTTCCCCTAGTTTCAACTCAGCTCGGTGAGTTTTGACGTCGCTCTTATGGACTGGCTCAGACCACTTTTGCTGCTACCGCTCTCTGGTTTGTCCTTTGCAAGAAATTACCCTGTTTGGCCCCCTGGTCTGACCCTTGCCTCTACGCTCTACGTAAAGCACCAGGATTTACTGTCTGCCCAAGTGTGGTGCTTTGCCAGAGGAGGGATCTGTTGGCCTGCCATCTGATGCACTACAGCGCCACCAATATAGATGGCCAGAAGATGGTACTGCACTTATCAACTAAGCAGGGTCTTCCCAATCTTCTAAAACTGTCTGTTCTAGCCTGTTTTATCTAGGCGATTCATCACTCAGGCACAGATTAAACTGCTCTGAGGTACCCATCCCCGCATGCCTGCTCAAACGGCCACCTGTGCTTCGCCTCACGTGACTGTCGTCTTCCCCACAAAACACCAGCCCTGACAATCTACCGCAAAGCCCTTCCGCCTTATTTATGGATCAAAACTAGCCCTGCTCCTTAAATTACTCTATAGCTAAAGCAGCCCTAACAAGATTATTCAAGCTTCAATCTGCTGCATGGAAAAGACGATGAATGCCACATGGCAGAGGAACAGAGTGATTGAATAATTCCTGTTTTATTCTAGTATGGTCAATGGCATTAAACATGACCTATGTGTTGATGGCATAGGCAATGAACCAAGGCTATCCTTGTACAGAATCTAGCAACAGAACACGGACACGGAACAGGCCCCACCTTAGCTAATTTGACCATGTGAGCTTGTTGCTCAGCCTCTAACTGAGACCTGGTGAGCTGTAACTGATCCTTCAGCTTCTCAATCTCCTCCTGCAGTTTATCTGTCTGCGCTTTCTGTTTCTTATCTGCTTAAAAGAAATACACGTTTAGTGGTCTTTTCATTACAGTTTGGGAAATGCAGCCCTTCCTACAGAAACCTTTCCATCGCTCGAGTCAAGGCTGGCTTCCAGGCCAATCCCAAAAGCAGTTAAACCAGGCCAGCTGCTAACAGAGTTATGAAAGGGTCCCCAACACAGCGCTCGTGGGCAACACGGAGCCCACCAAGTGTTTTTAGGGAGGGGACGGGGCTTTTGCCCTGCAGGGCTTCTAACTGGCCTCTGGAGATCTGATTGGCTATGCAATATTTTTTTTTTAGAACATTGCTTCAGCAGCAGCTGTCACCACAACATGAGGTTCTTCGTTACATGAGTGAAGGTAAGCTGTGCGTGTGCAAGAAAACATTTTTTAAACAGCATGCTGATTTATAAGGCATCCTGTTAAACAGGGCTCCTGCGTGAAACATTGAAGAGTTGCTATGACAGTTATGCAAGACCTTCCCCCCCTGCCATTTTGTGGTTGGTTCCACACCTCCCGTCAAAGTCATTTGGTTGTTCTGCCCACTGCCTTGTGTCAGAATGCCAAAGGTGCCCACAGGCTCAAAAGGGCTGAGGAACCCTGAGATAAGGGGTCTTCATGCTCAAGGGGACTCTCTGTATATATATGCCGCTGTATTTTATTGCTAGATGATGGTCCCTGCCACACTGGGGGGGGGGGGGGGGGGGGGGGGAAGAGGATCATACAGATCCCGTGAGCCGCCGTGCAATCGCTCCCCGGCACGATCAGATGCCGGGGAGACCGGGGAGAAAGCGACGGGAGGCTGACGAACTGCGCATGTGTGAGCATGCGCAGTTCGGCCAGGAGCCGGGGATACGCCGGCAGAAGGACGTGCCGGCGATCCCACGGCCGCGCTTGCCCCGGCCGTTACGGTAACACCTCCTCTGGAGGTGGTGTATTTTTGATGCGGGTTTCCGGCCTGAAGGACCGGATCGGGGACGGGTGCGCAACGTTTCCCAGATGTTGCGGTGGGATCGCGCCCGTTTGCTGCGCCCCCGATCCGTCCCTCTCCCGGCCCAAAACCTTTCGTGTGACCAGGGCCGATGAAGCACAAATCTGGAAATACTTGAAATTCTGTACCAGATTATAATATCAATGGACAATTTATGTGTGATCATAGTGAACACAGCACGGGACCCGTGGTTTGCTTTATAAGCTAGCATCAAACCACACAATATATGAGATAAGATCACCTGATCAGGGTGGATACATACTATTTATTTTCTGGATGTGTTTCTAAAAACTATGTTCTGTATTACTGACCACTGAAGAAGGCCTAAAAGGCCGAAACACGTATGGTCTTGTGTTGGTCATTTGGTATTTATCATCAGCTTTGTATGAGGGATTTGTAACAGCTTATGTAAAACTTATTCTCGATGACTTATAATGCAGCCTGATATTCAGGCCCTATGTTTTTAACTACATTATTGTGTATACCATATAATAAATATATTTCTTTTGACCACAATTTTATCTGCTGTAGCTCAACCTCTGACACATTCTCGGTACATTTCTGGTTGAGTTTGTATCCCCCTTCTCCTTTGCTTGTTACACAGAAAAACGTTTAGGTCCATATAGTTCCCAAACATTACCCTAAATTAAGAGAAAGAAGCACTGTGAATGAACAAAAGCAACACAACTATTTTTGACTTAATCAAAGGTTCTTAATAGTCCGTCCACCTCCTTTTAACCATGTCAGCCAGTTCCCCTCGCTTTCAAATATAAGATGAGCCCAGAATGAGAAACTGGAACCAATTTTTCAGCAAAGATGAGCCCAGCTTTCTTATACTTCCTAATCTGCATGACAAATATTTGCTCTAGTGGAAAATGGAGTCAGCCATCAGTCCTGTCCTCTCTCAATGCTTTGGACAGGCCACCCAAATTCTGGGTTGGGTGTTTTTTTTTTGCAAAGGATTGTATACACACCAATTCACTTATTCTTTGTTTTGTAAAAACTGTAAACCTGAAAAAGAACTATAAGACTCTTTCAAGGCCTGAGGAAGGCAGGTGTTTAGGTTGGTGATGTCATAATCCCTAACCAATCAGTAGTATCCACAGCCAGCTTTTGCTGCAAACAAAGGAACTAAAGGAACTTGATGATGTAATTTCAGAACTTCTGTCCATTATTTTTGAGAATACTTGAAGAACAAGTGAGGTGCCAGAAGACTGGAGATGGGCAAATGTTGTCCCCATCTTCAAGAAGAGGAAAAAGGAGGACTCAGGTGACCACTGACCCGTCAGCTTGACACCTATACCTGGAAAGGTTTTAGAACAAATCATCGAACAGACAGTCCTTGAGCATTTAGAATTGTTGACTGTGGCCCCGGTCACACGGGAGGATTTGCCCTGTGAAACGGACAGATTGAGGGCGAATTAAACCGGTGCGATCAGATGCCAACATCTGGCAAGCGTCGCGCACCCACCCCTAACTCGTACCTTCTGGCCGAAGATGCGGATCTAAAAGAGACTAGTGAAAGGGCAGTACCTACCGGATAACGCACAGCACCGGCGGCCGTGGGATCGCCAACGCGCGGTTATCCCGTGGTATGCGTGGCAATGGCAAGCTGCGCATGCGCACAACTGCTGTGGCTGGCCCTCCTCACCCTTCTTAGCATTGCTTCCCCTGCAGCATGTGATCGTGGCTGCCGGGAGAAGCGCAGAGCCTCAGGGGACCTGTCTGATCCCGCTGCTGTGCTTCTGTTTGTTGCGGCTCTAAAAAGCCGCACTTCTCCCGTGGCTTTTCCCGCTCGTGTGACCGGGGCCTGTGATTACTAAGAGCCAGCACAGGTTCCTCAAGAACCTGTCATGTCAGACTAACCTCATTTTCTTTTTGAGAGAGCTACTACCTTGTTGGATTAGGGGAACACTGTGGACGTAGTTTATCTTTATTTCAGTTTGGGTCTGGGAACTGTGTTGTTCAACATCTTTATAAATGACTTGGATGAAGGAATGGAGGGGATGCTCATTAAATCTGCAGATGATACTGAGTTGCAAGGGGTAGCAAATACAGTAGAAGACAGAGTCAAGATACAGGATGATTTTGACAGGCTAGAAAACTGGGCTAAAACAAAATGAATTTCAACTGAGATAAATGTAAAGTTCTGCATTTAGGTAGGAAAATCAAATGCACGATTATAGGACGGGGGAGACTTGTCTTGGCAGTAGTATATGCAAAAAGGATCTAGGGGTCTTAGTAGACCATACACTGAACATGAGTCAGCAGTGTGATGCGGTACCTAAAATGGCAAATGTGATTTGGGGCTGCAGCAACAGAAGGATAGTGTCCAGATCACGCAAAGTGACGATGTCACTTTGCTCTGGTTAGACCTCACCTGAAGTATTGTGTTCAGTTTGGGGCACTGCATTACGAAGAACTTCCTGATAGAGTGGTTCCTCAGTGGAACAGGCTTCCTCGGGAGGTGGTGGGCTCTCCTTTTCTGTAGGTTTTCAAGCAAAGGCTAGATGCCCATCTGACAGCAATGCCGATTCTGTGAACTTAGGCAGATCATGAGAAGGGAGGGCAGGAAGGGATGAGTCTACACTTGGCTCTTGTGGCCCTTTCTTACATGCCCAGGATAATGCCAATTACCATTTTGGGGGCAGGAAGGAACTTTCCCCCAGGCCAGGTATGGCCCAGGGATCCTGGATATTTTTGCCTGCCTCTGGACATAGAGCAGGGGCCACTGAGGGAGGAGGGGTAGTTGTGAATTTCCTGCATTGTGCAGGGGGGTTGGACTAGATGACCCTTGAGGTTCCTTCCAGCTCTACGTTTCTGTGCAGAATTTTGGTGTTTTTTTTTTCAGGATTTAACTCCAAGTAAAATAGGGAGTGAATGTGGTGACAGTGTTTCTAAACCAGCCCCAATTCCTCACAAGTGTCATCAACTATAGTGAGAAATTCAAAAGAGGTACCCGTGTTAGTCTCCTGCTGCCCATGTAACAAAGAGCCTCAGGCCAACACAGGGCTTGTGGGTGCCATGGTGCCCACCAATACTTTCCCTGGTGCCTGCCAAGGGTTTTTAGAAAGTGGGCAGAGATAAGTGGATCTTTAGTTTCTGATCGGCCACTGGAGGTCTCATTGGCTGTGCAGCAGCTGCCACCAAAGCACAAGGAACTTCACTGTGTGACTGAAGGTGTATTCAAGACAATATTTTTAAATAGTATGTCCATTGTAAAAGACGTCCTATTAAATGGAGCTTCTGCCTGAAATGTTGAAGAGTTACTATTAGAGTTGTGCATGGCCTGACTCCCTGACATTTTGTCGCTGGCCCCACCTCTTCTGGCAGCCATTTTGTGGTCGCACCCGCACAACACCTTGTTTCAGGATTCCAAAGGCTCAGAAAGGTTGGGTACCCCATTATAGACCATTAACAAACATACTGCAGCATAAACTTTGTGGGCTCTGAATCCTGAAAGATTACACCAAAGTCTTGGTTATTTCAGGTATCACTTTCGTTATAGGCCCCACCCCACCTCTGCAAGGCAAAAGGGGGGGGGGTAAACAGGAAAGCTGAACTGCTGTGGGGGGGGGAACCCTTCATAATTTCAGAGCTAGCAATGTCCCCCCCCCAGCCCCCGCACAAAAAAATCAATCCTCTTTAATCTAATCAGACAGCAGCTGCAGTGGAGATCACTACAGGAAGAAAACAAGAAGAACAGAAATGGAGAGACAATGATCTGAATAAAGAAAAGGCTCCTTTCAGGTGCCTCCAAATCACTAGAGCAAAGACTGCGGTGATTACGGGTTCAATTATGTCAGAGAAAAGAAACTAGTGAGGGTTTGGGCAGAATACCATTAGTGGCTGACAGCGGGATGGATCCTATGCACACCTCCCTGGAAGTAAGCCTCACTGGCTACAGTGAGACTTACTTCTAGTAAAGCTGCACAGGACTCGCTGGACTGTCAGTCAGCTAGCTGCCACAAATTCACTGCCACAGAAAGTGATGGCGGCTATAAGCATGGACGGCTTCAAAAGGGAATTAGATAAGCATATGGAGCAGAGGTCCATCAGTGGCTATTAGCCACAAGGTATAGATAGGGGCTCTGGGGCAAGTGATGCTCTGTCTTCTTGGTGCTTGGGGGGCGTCAACAGTGGAAGGGCTTCTAATGTCCTGGCCCCAGTGGTGGACCTCCTGATGGCTCTGGCCACTGTGTGATACAGAGTGTTGGACTGGATGGGCCTTTGGCCTGATCCAACATTGGCATCTCTTATGTTCTTATGGGCATGCCATATAAGCAGAGTTGCCAACGGACCTGCAGAAAAAAATGTTCTATCCCTTTAACAGAGGTTGAATGTGCAGAAATGGGCAAGTGAAGCTTTTCACGGCAGGGTGGAAAATAACACCAACTGGTAAATAGCCACCCATTAAGCCTCTGTTAAAGGGACATAGCATTTTCCTTTCCTGGCTGTTAGTATTTCTATGTGTAGGCTCATTCTGTGCATGTTTACTTGGAAGAAAGCTGCACAGTATTCAGTGGGACATACTTCCAGGTTGGTTAAGTGTGCATAGGATTGTACCCTTAAGTCATGACTACTTTTAACTGGGTTAAGGTGATGGGACTCCAAAACCTACTCCTTCATTGAGTGGTTACTGCCAACTGCATTTAGTTGTACTTTCTATGCTAGAACAACAACAGCAGCAACTAAAGATGAATGGCCAACTCTGATCTATACATTATTTTCTTCCAGAACTTCAGCTTACCACTGTGTGATTCTTCGGCGTGACGACGCTGCAAATGATTGTGCAGGAAGGAATAGTTCATAAAACTTTTTTCACAGAATTGACACTGCAAAATAAAAGTCGAGCTTCAATTTTTTAAAAACAAAATCACTGGTATATGCAATTGTAATACGTACAGCTGAGGAAACATGTCTGCGTACTTCATGCTAGCCTGGAGCCCTATTCTCAACTGTACGGCTGGGCTCTTCTGCAAAAATTTAACCTTTTTGAATGGGGTTTTCTACAAACAGATGAAATATTCCAGGTAGATCGATCCCCAAAAAGCTTTGTTAACATGAAATATCATAAAGTCAGCAGTTAACTGACACCCGAAAGGCTTTTTACATACGTTCAGCTGTTCCAGAGCCGTAAAAAAATATCAAGCTCTGATCAGTCATTCTACATTTATGTTTTCAATTTGTTAGACAGACATAAGCACACACTCACGTGTTGATGCATAAAGAAAGAAAAACAAGCTGGCTTAGCTTTCTTCTGTTAGTGATCTGCAGATACACGACCTTGCAATCACTTGCTCTTCACTCCTAATGAGTAGAGTCCCCTAACGCTGCATTTAAGGCAATCAGCGGGCATGGTGTGAAACACATGTAAACAGCAATTTAAGAACTTGTTCAGCAGAACCAGAAGCCGATTCTTATGGCTGAATTCTCAACTCTCATCTACTATTTAAAAACGGAGTACTGATAGCTACTATGCTATTAAATATAAATGTCTCGAAGCAGCCACTAAGAGCATAAATAATTAAGTTACTTTTTTTTTTTTTTTTGGATAAATGCGAGAGCACAAAAAAGCCCTGGCAGAAAGGGCTGAATACTGCGGAAATCCCAAAACGCAGCAGGGATCTGTCGTCCAAAGTGTACCACGTAACTGAATGCATTAAATGGGCCATAAAACATTATGTCTAACTAAGCACTGGTGTTATAACTGTCCCACTTGTCTGTAGTGGATGCAGTGCCTGATTCCACAGGCAACTGCATTCGTGTCGGTGGTGAAGAGCCACGTACTGAGCTCTTAAATCAGTCCTCTTATTCCTAAATAGACATAAATTATATGCAATAACAAAGTACTTTCACACTTAAAAAGAAAGGGAAGAGGTTTGGAGTGGGCCCCTTGACGCCATCTCGCATCTCAAAAACAGTCACGTTTGAGTAACGTTTTAATGTTTCCGGCTTTCTTTGCATAATCATGCATTAAATACAAATTTAAATGATGCTAATTTGTAAAGAGATTTAGATTTAGTTACCAGTTACTGCTTCATTTATTCCCCCCTCCACACACACACAGCTGTGCATGGCCCAATTCCTACCTATACCTATCAGTGAGGATGGCAACGAGAAATGTAATTAATGAAACTGTACGTGAGTCTACAATGAGCTCAGGCACATATCATTTGGGATGCAAATGAAGCACAGACAGGCCTAGCTCACCAGTACTGAAAGAACTGCCTGACTGACAATTTGTTTCCAGGCACAATTAAAACTGCTAGTTCGTCCCCTTGATTCTCTTAAGCATTCTGGGACTTCTATAATATCACAGGGACCACTTGCTCTCATAGAAGCCTGAGACACAGCTCTGTATGCTTCCACCATCGATAAAAGGGCTTTTGCTATTGCTGCTGCACCCATCTAGAGGTCATTTCGGGGGGGAACGCGGGGGAACGCAGTCCCCCCGGGTGAGGTACGGGGGGACAGGGCACATGACAAAGCCCCGCCCCCTGCTTCCGGCTGCCCCGCTTCCAGCCCTCATTCAGCCAGGAGGAGGCAGGAGAAGAGGGAGGGTAAGTTGCTTCCTCCCTGCCTCTCCCCACCCCTACCTGCCTGGGGCCAGGGAGGGCCTTCGCGGGGCTTCCTTGCACTCCCGCCAGCCTTGCAGGTCCACCGCCGGGCCTCTCATGGGGCTCGGCAGTGGAGCTGCAAGCCTGGCGGTGGCAGCCGGGACCATTGGGGGCGGGGTGTGTGGCCTTATGACACATTTCCGGTGATGTCAGGGGGTGTGGCCTTATGACACACTCCGGTGATGTCAGGGGGTGTGGCATATCCTAATGAGTTATGCTAATGAGTTCCCCTAGCTCTTTTTCTACGAAACGACCCCTGCACCCATCTATGAAATTCCTTCTCTGCATCCATTCCCCTAACACCTTTACGTACCAGGTAAAAATTTAGTTATTTACTGGCTTACTACGTATTGGTAGCAGCCTGAGGCTGCAGTCAGACGTGCCTTTATATCTTTTTTTTTTTAACAAAATTTTATTCAGGACATAATCAATCACATCCAACATTAATTTTACATTTCTACCCATTACATCCTACCCACCTCCCTTCCCCCCCCTTACATGGCTTCCCACAGTGCTACGACCTCCTGCATATTTCTTAACCTTCTCTCCTCCAACCACTTCTTCATTCCAAGTTCACTAGGTAACTGTTATTTAACTATTACAATTGTATCTCTATCCTTTCATCTTACTAAAAGTCAATACTCAATAGTTATTAAAGCAAAATAAGTTGTCTCTTACATCCCAATATTTTTCCAAATAGTCTTTTAAGTCTTTCCAGTCTTTATAGAAATCTTCTGCTTCCATATTATTAAGTTTCCGTGTCATCTTGTCCATTTCAACTGAAAACAATAACTTTTTAATCCAATCCTCGACTCTCGAGACTTCATTTTGCTTCCAGCATTGAGCATAGGTCATTCTGGCTGTTGTTATCATATACCACATCAATGTCCTTTTCGCCACATTGACCTCTTCCATTTTTAGCCCCAAAAGTAATATTTCTGGTTCTTTCTTAAAATTACATTTCGCAATTTTTTCCATCTCTACATGAATCTCACTCCAATATTTTTTTGCCTTTTCACAAGTCCATCACATATGATAAAACGAGCCCTCAACCCTTCTGCACTTCCAACATTTGTTTGACATATTAGTATTCATATTAGCAATCTTTCTTGAGACGTGCCTTTATATCTGACTCAGCTGTGAATCCCTGACGGATCTAAAGGTCACAAACACACAGCAACATCTGGGAGAGGTTCCGCAGCTGTCAGCACCCTGTGCTGCCCCGCCACAGAAGCAGAGTTAAAAGACACCAGGGAATGTCAAGTCCTAATGCTTGCCAACAGGCTACGGACGGACTTTCCCCTGTCTGATCACTCAAGCACGCTCCCATGTGGTCGGGATGGTCTGCTCATTCCATCCCAACTCAGTGCCGTTGCGCACAACCACATACTCCATGGGGAGCCCTCAGTGTGGAGGTACAATTCCTCGTTTATGCGCATGGGAAACAAAAGGCAAAAAAAAAAGAGACCACTCAGCAGAACGTGCCGTCTGATCGGACAGTGACGGGCTGAGCCCGCAGCTACAAAGGATGTGTGATCGTGCAACGCCGTGCCAATTTCAACTGGGGCAAATAGGCTCGCTTCCCCTCCATACCAAATGGCATGTCTGAACGCGGCCTGAGTAGCCCTGACTAGCCTGATTTTGCCAGAGCTTGAAATCTAAGAAAGGTAGGCATTGGTTACTACTTGGATGGGAGACCATCAGGGAAGAGTAGGATTGCTAGGCCAAGGAAGCCAACGATAAAACCACCTCTGCTCTTGAGTTGATTATGACTGTGAGTTGGTTATGCACACAATTATTATTTTACCAGGGCTCAGGGTGACACACAAAAATTCAAAACATCAAAATATTAAAGAGAGCAAATAATTAAACTGGTAACTACCAATCAATGAAGTCTGAAAAGCAGTGTATGGACTATAAAACCCAGGGCTTTAAAGGTGTTTAAAATCCTGTTGGTTGGTTGTGTCTTTGGGTTGGTTATGGTCTTTGGGTTCCTCTGACACTCCTAGTGAAAGTGTTTCTTGCATTAAGGAAGGCACGACGTGCTGAAAGATGGCGCTGGCCTTAGTGGAACAAAGTCCCTTCTCTTCTCTAATGAATGATATTCCATGTGTGTTAGCAAAGGTCACACACTTTGGATGCAACTCAGGTACAGTTATGCTTAAAATTACTCTGGGTACCTTGTTATAAGGTACCAGTATAAATATAGCCAATCATTTGTCGCATCTAACTTGTATGCTTCCACTACTTGTACTGCCGCTATTTGATTTTCTCTTCTGTTGGAACTGTATGATGCGAGTTTGTGTTTTACTGATGTAGTTGCTTTTATTATATTAGTATAATGCTGTAAGCTGTCTCAAAAGTTTTCATGATGAACACGGGCCATTAATATTCTAAATAAATACCGGCAGGTAGATTTCAATGGAATCTGGGCACACACAACCAGGCTCTGGATTTAACAGTACCCAATGACTTCAGTCTTATCGACAGTCAACAAGCAGATGTTTGCAGTCATGCTCATAAAGACAATAGGCAAACAGATGGTTTAGTTATAGCCTTTGTGTCTCTCGCCAACACTGTTTTTAACTGAGCAAGTAACCTTATGAAATTGAAAGAAGGAGGTTGGGCAGTCTCTTAGTTAGATGTCAGTATTTTTAAATAGAAAAAAGTAGCTGCAAGTCAAACATTTAAGTGCGGTTTGTTTGTTTTGGCATCAAGTCGCAGATGACTTATGGTTACTCCATTGGGTTTTCCAGGTAAGAGATAATCAGAGGTAGCTTGCCACTGCCTGCCTCCATGTCATGACTCTGGTATTCTTTGGTGGTCTCCCTTACCAAATACTATCCAGAGTCGACCCTGCTTAGCTTCCCAGATTGCATAAGTTCGGGCTAGCCTGGGCATGGAGCTAACTTCTCCATGCATGAGCATTTGTTGCAGATGTAGTAAGTATACAACATCCTGCCTCAGAGTAGGGGAATGGATCTCTTCCAGTTCACAATATCTATGGATTTGGTATGCCTGATTCTTGAGACTGGTTGGTACCAGGAGCACACAAACAATTAGAATGGGACATACCAAAGCTAAGCTAGTAGAACATAACTTGATACCTTTTATACTGAAAATCTAAAAAAAAAGATCAGTAATGCCTAGAGATAGGAAGGCCTGGGGGCCCGAGGGGATTTCCCAAATTTGTATGTTGGAATTTGGGACGTATTGAAGAAAATGCCTAGAAAAACGTTTTTCTTTGAAATGAGTGAAATGCTTTTAGACATACCAAAGCTAAGCTAGTAGAACATGACTTGATACCCTTTATACTGAAAATCTAAAAAAAACAGATCAGTAATGCCTAGAGATGTGAAGGCCTGGGTGGAATCCCCCTGGGGATTTCCCAAATTTGTCTGTTGGAATTTGGGACATATTGAAGAAAATGCCTAAAAACACGTTTCCTTTGAAATGAGTGAAATGCTTTTAAAGATCCTAATTCAAAATGTATACATTCAATAGTTCCAATGGAAAAATTGAGAAGTAAAGAAAACCATATCAAATTTTATATATTTTAGACAGACAGACCGACTGATATACACACACAGCCACAAATTTGGAATGAATGAAAAGATAGCACATTATGCAACAGCCTGCAGCTCTCTCTCACTTTTAGTACTGGATGCATATGCTGTTTTGCTTGTACAACATTAATAGTGCCATCCAACACTTTTCTGGGCATCAGCCCCAGTGAACAGACTTCAGTAGGATTCTAAGTAGACTTGCTTAGGGTGGCACTGTTAAGCGCATGGTTCTAAAGAAAGTGTACGCTACATCTCATGCTATTCAGTGGGGCTTACTCCCAAGAAAGTGTTCCTTGGATGGCAATGCCAAGCATTTACACTTTTAAATTCCACAAATATGCCAGTTAATGCCATATACTTACAAACAGTGCAATCCTAAGCAGAGTTACACCTTTCTGTGTCCATGGATGGCACTGCAAGTTACAAATGATGCATTTTATGCCGTTCAAGCAACGGAGTAGGTTTGATTGGAAAGTAAATATTGCATATATTTCGATTTTCCTCAAGATTTCTATTTTTTCCACAAGCTGCCTTACGTTCTTGGTGCTTGGGGGGGTCAACAGTGGGAGGGCTTCTAATGTCCTGGCCCCACTGGTGGACCTCCTGATGGCACCTGGTATTTTTGGCCACTGTGTGATACAGAGTGTTGGACTGGATGGGCCTTTGGCCTGAACCAACATTGGCATCTCTTATGTTCTTATGTTCCCAGAACTTTGACATGTCTAGTAATGCCCAGTGATATCTGTGCTATCATTATTGCATCTGAGGATTTAGTGAGGCAATCTGTATCTTCATGGGCCAGAAGCAAGAATCTACCTGACCGTTCCCATTCAATTCAACACAGGGATCTACACAGCCAGTCCTAAGTACTGGAGTTCAGTATAGTATAATGACTATGGTCTTAACGGTTGGACTAGCATCCGTGAAACAACCACTCTCTGCCATGGAAGCTCACTGGGTGATCTGGGCCAGTCATGCACTCTCAGCCTAACCTGCCTCACAGTGCTATTGTGAGAATAAAAAGAGGGAAAGGAGAACCATGTATATCACCCTGAGCCTCTCCCAAGGAAGAACAGGATTAAATTGCACTATACAGGAACTATGGCAACCTTAAACAATATGGTAAGTTTTGGAAAATTAGTACAGTACAAGGCAAGGCAAGGGCATGATCATTCCTTTGAAAGGACGGTGTACTGGTTTGCATAGCCTTCAGCCTGAAATCCAAAACACACGACTTCTTTTTTTTTAAAGGTTACCTGCTTTGCACTTTTCCTGCGGCCTCCTTTACACCTGGTCTGAGAAGCTTCCAGTTGCCAACAGGCATAGAAGAGTGTAACAACTTATTTTGTTTCCTTTATTAAAACTCCACCTTCCTCACCAAAACAGCTTACATGGTTCTCCTTCATTTCCATCCTCATAAAAACCCTGTGAGGAAGTTTAGGCTGAGAGCATATAACTAGGTCAGCCACAGAGTCGCCATGGAAGCAACCTGAGGGCACTTAACACCCACACACAGGTCAACCAGCAAGCTTCCATAGCAGAGTGGGCATCTGAGCCTGGGTCCAAGACAGTAACCACTACTCTGCACTGGCTCTCAACTCTGCTTAGGAAGACACTGTTACCAACCATGAGGCATGGGCTGGAGGACACATACAGGCACGAAGCTATGGTGGGGTATTTCGGGGCCACGCCCCTTTAGTAGTGAGCTCCGCCCCATCCAAGCAGCTCCCCATGCCCACAGCCTCTTCCTCGTCTACTGGCGGGGTTGCTGCTCGTGGCTTGAGTGGCGTTTAAAAGGTGGGACCAAGAGCTGAGTCCTCCTGCCGAGAACCCAGTCCTTGAGCTGTGTGCGGGTGAGCCTGCCCACAGCCAGTAGACAAGGAAGACGCGCTTCCTCATCGACTGGCTGCGGGCAGGCGGACTCGCTGCTCGCAGCCTGAGTGACGTTTAAATGGGGGATGTTTAAATTGGCTCCCCCATTTAAACGCCTCTCAAGCCGCATGCAGCAAACCCGCTTGCAGCCAGTAGACAAGGAAGGGGTTCTTCTTCCTTGTCTAGTGGCTATTGGCAGGCGGGCTCACTGCTCGCGGGTTGAGCGGCATTTAAACGGGGGGGCCCAAGGGTTCCCCTTTTAAATGCTGCTCAAGCCGCGAGCAACGAGCCCACCCACGGCCATTCAATTTTTTTACTTTTATGATTTTTTTTTTATTTGTGTGATGTCACAAGTGACATCACGCCCCCCTCGGTGCCGCCCCACCGACAAATTCCTGGCTACGCCACTGGACACAGACCAGTGACCAGCCTCAGAGCAACCATTTTATCAAGGTCAGCATTGCCTACTCTGACCGGCAGCCGTTTGCCTGGGCTTCAGGCAGAGAGGTCTCTCACGTCAGGAGGTGGCGGCGGCTACAAGCATGGATGGCTTAAGAGGGAATTGGATAAACATATGGAGCAGCGGTCCATCAGTGGCTATTAGCCACAAGGTATAGACAGGAACTCTCGGTCTGGGGCAAGTGATGCTCTGTATTCTTGGTCCTTGGGGGCAACAGTGGGAGGGCTTCTGGTGTCCTGGCCCCACTGCTGGACCTCCTGATGGCACCTGTATTTTTGGCCACTGTGTGACTGAGTGTTGGACTGGATGGGCCATTGGCCTGCCTGATCCAACACTGGCTTCTCTTATGTTCTTATGTCATCACCTGCTGCCTGATACCTTTTAACCGGGCCCCTCGGCATGCAACGCAGACGACTCTACCACGAACCACGTTCCCCCTTCCCAAAGTCCAGAAGGGGAGATGGGTGCAGGGGGCAGATTCTCACTGGTGCCCTGAGCACTGACCAATCTTGGCGCCCCCCCCCCTCCTTTCCACACTGACCCCAGACCATTATAGTTGTTGACCTGTCTGACCAGATACACTATGCAGGTTGCAGCAATACAGAAATTTATTCGTGTGATAACACAATATATTGTACAAACTAAAATTTTGACATGTCTAGTAATGCCCCGTGACATCTGTGCTATCATTATTGCATCTGAGGATTTAGTGAGACAATCTGTATCATCATGGGCCAGAAGCAAGAATGCCCTACCTGGTGGCAGGCGGCCCCGGCCTGGAGCATCATCTGCTGGGTGCTGATCATCCTCCGGCGGCGCTTGCACTCGTCGCGGAGGGTGCGGGCGAGGTGGTCCTTGGCGGCCAGCTCCTTGGCCAGCTGGGCGCGGTGGTCGTCGGCGGCGCGGAGGAGCTCGCGGAGGGCGCGCAGCTGGGCGGCGAGGTGGTCCTGCGAGTGGAGGAGGTACTCGAGGCAGAGCTGCGCCAGGCGGAAGAGCCGGAGGAGGAGCGGGTCGGCGGGGGCCTGGCAGCGCGGGCAGCGCTCCCGCTCGGCGCTGCAGAAGGTGACGTGCTCCAGGTGCTCCTGCAGCGCCGCCACGTCCAGCTCGGCCGCCACCCGCTCCGCGTCCACCGCGCTCAGGCGCCGCCAGTCCGGGCTCTCGTGCCGGGGGCGGAACTGGAAGAGGGGGGGCGGCGGCGGCGACGAAGCCATGGCTGCTGCTGCTGCCGCTGCTGGGGGAGAGGAAGGGGAAGACACAGGCGCGGAGGCCGCGCAGTCAGCGCCCGAGGAGGAGGGGGAGGGGCGGGACGGGGCCCGCC